GTCATATGTATGGTACTTATAAGGTCATATGTAAGGTACATATAAGATCATATGTATGGTAACCTCTTAACGTTTCCCAAGAAGAAAACGGTGACTTTAAAGTGCCCTTTCCTAACCTACCAGAGGACGTAAAACAGAAAACGGGATAGTACGTCACTTTCGCCAGCCGCTTCCATTTTCTGCCAAACAGCCCAGTCGACGGCGAAGAATCATAGCCCCGGCGAAATCTTCATTTTTCTCAAAACTCAAAATCAAAACCAGCCATAGAATCGTTTTGAAAATGTTACCATTGTGTTTACCGCAATAATTTATATTTCTTTCTGTTAAGTCTTTCTTTACTAATTTTCAATATTAAGGCTTTAACAGCCATATTTACTGAGATACAGCCAACTCAAATATCAAATTTATCATCGTGTTTTCTCAACATATTACTAAGGAAAATGAGTTGAAAAACATGTAGTAATACTTATAATGAGTTAAATAAAAAATGGGTATTAAAAATAAAGTAATTTTAATAATCTTTATTTACTTAGAGATGATTTCGAATGATATTTATGTGTGTATATATTTGATACTTATAATGGCATACGTTTGGTACTTATAAAGGCATGTGTATGGTACTTATAATGTCAAACGTATGTTACTTATAATGGCATATGTATTGTACTTATAAAGACATGATGGTACTTATAATGACATATGTATTGTACTGATAATGGCATGTGTATGGTACTTATAAAGGCATATGATTGGTACTTATATTGGCCTATGTATGGAACTTATAATGACATATGTATGTTACTTATAATGGCATATGTATGGTATTTATAATGATGTATGTTTGGTACTTATAATGACATATGTATGGTACTTATATCGTCATATGTATGGTAAATATTAGGTCATATGTTTGGTACTTTTAATGACATTTGTATGGTACTTATAAGGACATTTGTATGGAACTTATAAGGTCATATGTATTGTACTTATAAGGTCATATGTAAGATACTTATAAGGTCATATGTATTGTACTTATAAAGTCATATGTATTGTACTTATAAGGTCATATATATGGTACTTATAAGGTCATATGTATGGTACTTATAAGGTGATACGTATGGTACTTATAAGGTCATATGTATGATACTTATAAGGTCATATGTATGGTACTTATAAGATCATATGTATTGTACTTATAAGGTCATTTGTAAGGTACTTTTAATGTCATATGTATTGTACTTATTAAGTTATATGTATTGTACTTATTAAGTTATATGCATTGTACCTATAAGGTCATATGTAAGGTACATATAAGGTCATATGTATGGTACTTATAAGGTCATATGTATGGTACATATAAGGTCATATGTATGGTACTTATAAGGTCATATGTAAGGTACATATAAGATCATATGTATGGTAACCTCTTAACGTTTCCCAAGAAGAAAACGGTGACTTTAAAGTGCCCTTTCCTAACCTACCAGAGGACGTAAAACAGAAAACGGGATAGTACGTCACTTTCGCCAGCCGCTTCCATTTTCTGCCAAACAGCCCAGTCGACGGCGAAGAATCATAGCCCGGGCGAAATCTTCATTTTTCTCAAAACTCAAAATCAAAACCAGCCATAGAATCGTTTTGAAAATGTTACCATTGTGTTTACCGCAATAATTTATATTTCTTTCTGTTAAGTCTTTCTTTACTAATTTTCAATATTAAGGCTTTAACAGCCATATTTACTGAGATACAGCCAACTCAAATATCAAATTTATCATCGTGTTTTCTCAACATATTACTAAGGAAAATGAGTTGAAAAACATGTAGTAATACTTATAATGAGTTAAATAAAAAATGGGTATTAAAAATAAAGTAATTTTAATAATCTTTATTTACTTAGAGATGATTTCGAATGATATTTATGTGTGTATATATTTGGTACTTATAATGGCATACGTTTGGTACTTATAAAGGCATGTGTATGGTACTTATAATGTCAAACGTATGTTACTTATAATGGCATATGTATTGTACTTATAAAGACATGATGGTACTTATAATGACATATGTATTGTACTGATAATGGCATGTGTATGGTACTTATAAAGGCATATGATTGGTACCTATATTGGCCTATGTATGGAACTTATAATGACATATGTATGTTACTTATAATGGCATATGTATGGTATTTATAATGATGTATGTTTGGTACTTATAATGACATATGTATGGTACTTATATCGTCATATGTATGGTAAATATTAGGTCATATGTTTGGTACTTTTAATGACATTTGTATGGTACTTATAAGGACATTTGTATGGTACTTATAAGGACATTTGTATGGAAATTATAAGGTCATATGTATTGTACTTATAAGGTCATATGTAAGATACTTATAAGGTCATATGTATTGTACTTATAAAGTCATATGTATTGTACTTATAAGGTCATATATATGGTACTTATAAGGTCATATGTATGGTACTTTTAAGGTGATACGTATGGTACTTATAAGGTCATATGTATGATACTTATAAGGTCATATGTATGGTACTTATAAGATCATATGTATTGTACTTATAAGGTCATTTGTAAGGTACTTATAAGGTCATATGTATTGTACTTATTAAGTCATATGCATTGTACCTATAAGGTCATATGTAAGGTACATATAAGGTCATATGTATGGTACTTATAAGGTCATATGTATGGTACATATAAGGTCATATGTATGGTACTTATAAGGTCATATGTAAGGTACATATAAGATCATATGTATGGTAACCTCTTAACGTTTCCCAAGAAGAAAACGGTGACTTTAAAGTGCCCTTTCCTAACCTACCAGAGGACGTAAAACAGAAAACGGGACAGTGCGTCACTTTCCCCAGCCGCTTCCATTTTCTGCCAAACAGCCCAGTCGACGGGGAAGAATCATAGCCCCGGCGAAATCTTCATTTTTCTCAAAACTCAAAATCAAAACCAGCCATAGAATCGTTTTGAAAATGTTACCATTGTGTTTACCGCAATAATTTATATTTCTTTCTGTTAAGTCTTTCTTTAATGGTCCTCCCTCCGTCCTCCCCCAGTAGATCCATCTCACCTCAGACTTCAGCTTCGCCAAAGACTCAGCCTACACAAATAAGTCCAATGCGGGCTCACCATAGCCCGTGCTACTTGGAACATTTCGTTCCGAGTAGCTAAATCTATAACATCAACAACATCCAATCCAGCAGAGGCGTTCGCAGACGTGCTCTCTCCGACCACCAACACCACCACCACCACCGACGTGACCAAACCATCTTCTGCCACAGCTCGTGGCCTCCAGAGCCACCCTCAACCTCAGGCTGTGAGACCAAAACCACCAACAACGGACTACACAGGTGCTCGGTGCTCGGAGCCATCAGACAGTTGCATCTTGCGAACAGCTCCTCCCTGCCTGGGTGGGCGCCGATTTAGTAGCTCTGTTTTCTCTGCTGAGATAATTAAACCTAGGTCCTGACATGAGTCTAATACAGAGTTAAGAGCGTTCTGCGTGTTAGCATACCCAGTGGTGTGTATCATTATATCATCGGCATAGCTAATGATGTGGACGTTGGGTTTGCTCGGTACAGAGTTTAACAGCGTGTTTATTAAGATATTAAATAAGGTAGGACTGAGGACACCTCCCTGCGGGGTACCTAGTTCAAAGTCTCTTGTTACCATCTCGATGTTTCCTATGCCCCTGGAAAAATACAGATGACTTCCTGTTGGATAAGTAACCCCTGATCCAAGAAAGAAGCAGACCACCAATATTCATAATATTCATTCTTGTAAGGTCACTCAAGATAACATGTCTATTTGCAATATCAAAGGCAGACTTGAGATCTAAGAAGGTAGTATATGACTTTTCAGTGTGCAGAGTAAGAAAGGTGGTGATGCAATGATGCACACTCCTTCCATGCATGAAGCCATATATCTGGGGGGATAGCATGGTTCTGATTCTTTGGAGGAGACGGTTAAGGACCATTCTCTCGAATGTTTTGCAAATGCAGCTAGTAAGGGAAATTGGGCGGAAAGCATTCTCTTGATTTGGCTTGGGAATTGGAATGATTATACTGTTGGTCCAAGAGATAGGAAGTTCCCCAGTAACATAGCTCATATTATACAGCTCAAGCAGGGGATTCCCTGGTACTAAAGGAAGTAGACGCAATATGTCATAAGTGATACCCGTGTTAAATAATCCATGCTTGTCTACCCTGTCTATTCCTCTGAGAATTTTGTATGGGATCATATCTCCCCCGAGCTCTTCTGTCTTCCAGCAACGTGAGGTGCAGTTCACGCAGCCTTTCCCCATAACTCATGCCTCTTAGTTCTGGGACTAGCCTAGTGGCATACCTCTGAACTTTTTCCAGCTTCGTGTTGTGCTTGACAAGGTACGGGCTCCGGACTCCGGGCTCCATGCTGTGCCTGCATACTCCAGGATTGGCCTTGCATATGTGGCATACAAGGTTCTGAAGGATTCCATGCACAGATTTCTGAAAGCAGCTCTGATGTTATCCAGCCTCGTATAGGCCGCTGATGTTATTATTTTGATGTGGGCTTCAGGAGACAGGTTTGGCATGATATCAACTCCAAGATCTTTCTCTCTGTCCGTTTCGTGAAGGACTTCATCTCCCATTCGGTATCCAATGTCTGGCCTCCTATTTCCTCCACCTAGTTTCATTACCTTACATTTACTTGGGTTGAACTTTAGTAGTCATTTGTTGGACCATTCCTTCAGTTTGTCTAGGTGATCTTGTAGCCTCATACTTTCTTCCTCTGTCTTGATCATCCTCATAATTTTTGCATCAGCAAACATTGAGAGGAACGAGTCTTTTCCTTCTGGGAGATCATTTACATATATCAGAAATGGGTCCATGATGTATTGTGTGTATTTTTGTGTATTACTATAGCAGCAAATATAATGACTATTTTAATTATTTCACATGTATTTCGTACCTTAAAGGCCTTTTCATTCACAGGTTTACACGAGAGGACATTAAAGCACATTTTTGCCTCAACATTGACTCGACATATGATATTCTTCTCGCCGTGTAACATTGGTGCGATGTGGGCCAGCGTACAGGCTCTGGATGCTGGTTCATTTCCTGAGAATACCATCCCACGGTTCCTCCGCCCAGCTGCTCTACACATCACCTCCCGGACTGGACTCGCTACTACACTCTCCTCCTTATGGCACAAAGACGTTGGATACCACCTGGGGACTTACCACCTGGTGATGGGTGTCCACCTTCCCCACTGCCAGGTGCAACTTAAAGCCATTGCTCGATGGTTCCAGGCCTCCTACAATGTGGTAAGTCTATTTGCTATTTGGCTGAACTTATCATGTTCAGCCAAATGCTGTTGGAGGATGTTGATCCGGAAAATTTCTCCAAAAGGTCAAATGTAACAAACAAGGAGCGACGGTTTCAAGCTCGACAAGCCACAATGTTGGACTGAGAACAGGAGGTGCTTTTTCAGGTTCGTTTTTCAGGTTTCTGGTTCGTTCTCGACGCACTTCGAGAATTCTGGGTTCGAATCCCAGGCGGGACAGAAATAGTTGGGCACATTTCCTTTCACCTAATGCCTCTGTTCACCTTGCAGTGAGTAGGTACTCAGGAGTTAGCTTATAGTGGGGTTGCATCATGGGCGGGTCAGTAATTCGGCCTGGGGGGAGGAGAGGGGAGGGAGACATCGCTAGAAGCCAAAATGTGCATGAATACATACTGGCTTCCTGTCCCCCGACACAGTGAATTATTATTATTTATAAACTCGTGGAACCCAAGACAATATGACTTACGCAATGCAGTGCATATGTAAGTCACGGGAACCAATTCCAAGGGGCATGTAGGAAGGGAATGCAGCTTAACCTCGGATCCCAGTTCACAGGGGGCTGTACTGGGACGGTGAACGTAACGTACTAGGCAGCAAGATGAGTGAGGAATACATGAGGACGTAGCAGAGAGTACAAGCAAGCAGGTAACATTTAAGTTATAAAAGTAAAGTTGGTGGTGTACGCGATGGAGAGGGAGTCTCCAAAACCATCAGCGCGGCTGGCTGGGAGCAGCACCCCACCCCCAGATTTGCTTTAAAAGCTGCGTACAAGAGTGTTATTTATCAGATCTATCATGAGATGTATGCAGATACAGAATTTGCAGCCATTATATAGACAGACAACACACACACACACACACACACACAGAATCTGGGAAGATTCAGCGTTGCATCCATTGTAAAGTAAATGTTATACATATTGTCTTGGGTAATCCCTCGTCGGGGGGGTGGCGGGTGTTATGCACCTTGGGGGAGGTGGAGGTGGTGTTGAGGACCTGACCTGACACTCGGGGGGGGGGGGGGTGTTGAGCACCTGACCTGACACTCGGGGGGGGGGGGGGGGGGTGTTGAGATCCAGACCTGACACTCGGGGGGGGGGCGGGTGTTGAGGACCAGACCTGACACTCGGGGGGGGGGGGTGTTGAGCACCTGACCTGACACTCGGGGGGGGGGGGTTGTTGAGCACCTGACCTGACACTCGGGGGGGGGGGGGGGTGTTGAGCACCGGACCTGACACTGGAAGGGGGGTGTTGAGCACCTGACCTGACACTCAGGGGGGGGTTGTTAAGCACCTGACCTGACACTCGGGGGGGGGGGTGTTGAGCACCTGACCTGACATTCGGGGGGGGGGGTGTTGAGCACCCGACCTGACATTCGGGGGGGGGGGTGTTGAGCACCTGACCTGACATTCGGGGGGGGGGGGTTTGAGCACCTGACCTGACATTCGGGGGGGGGGGTGTTGAGCACCTGACACTCAGGGGGGGATGTTGAGCACCTGACCTGACACCTGGGGGAGGGTGTTGAGCACCTGACCTGACATTCGGGGGGGGGGGGGGTTGTTGAGCACCTCACCTGACATTCGGGGGGGGGGGGTTGAGCACCTGACCTGACACTCGGAGGGAGGTGGTGTTGAGCACCTGACCTGACATTCGGGGGGGGGGGTTGTTGAGCACCTGACCTGACACTCGGAGGGAGGTGGTGTTGAGCACCTGACCTGACATGGGGGGGGGGTGTTGAGCACCTGACCTGACACTCGGGAGAGGGAGGTGTTGAGCACCTGACCTGATACTCGGGGGAAGGGGGGTGTTGAGCACCTGACCTGACACTCGGGGGAAGGGGGGTGTTGAGCACCTGACCTGATGCTCGGGGGAAGGGGGTGTTGAGCACCTGACCTGACACTCGGGGGAAGGGGGGTGTTGAGCACCTGACCTGACACTCGGGGAGGGGGGGTGTTGAGCACCTGACCTGACACTGGGATGGAGGTGGTGTTGAGCACCTGACTTGATACTCGGGGGAAGGGGGGTGTTGAGCACCTGACCTGACACTCGGGGGAAGGGGGGTGTTGAGCACCTGACCTGATACTCGGGGGAAGGGGGTGTTGAGCACCTGACCTGACACTCGGGGGAAGGGGGGTGTTGAGCACCTGACCTGACACTCGGGGAGGGGGGGTGTTGAGCACCTGACCTGACACTGGGATGGAGGTGGTGTTGAGCACCTGACCTGACACTCGAGGGGGGGGGGGGGTGTTGAGCACTCAGTTCCCAGTTTAGGAGTAACTATAAGGACCCCAGGAACACATGTCTTTTTAATGTAGTTAAGCCTTGCATAAATGATTTGTTTTCATGTGACTGAAATGTTTGTCTAGGAGTCTTAGGCCTGTACTGAAGAGTAAATAATGATCAAGGCTTGTAGTATGGAGTAATGAATTATCTCAATCTCTAAAAGATAAGTATGCACAGAAATTATATGAATGGGTAAGGTGTTGGGTTGGCCAACACCCTTTATTTTGGGAAGAATTCACAAATAATGGAACTGCAGTATGATTCATGTTTAAATAAACAAATAAATAAATTTTTATTCAGATAAGGTACATACATACAAGGTAAGATACAAAGTTCATGGATATATAGATAGAGCTAGTACATACAATGTCTAAAGCCACTATTACGCAAAGCGTTTCGAGCAGACTAACACTCGGGGGGGGTTACATTAATTACAGTATATTTTACAAATGTGTACATAGCTCTTTTATTATTTCCAGAGCTCCAAGACAGTAGTAACGGAAGAAGTGTTTTTATTTGGTGATGAGAAAGAGAGCTTGCATGTGCCTGTAACCAGCTGGGGCCCCCAAAAAAAGGGCCATACTATCACCGTGCTCCAACAGCCCACACTCGGGCCCCAAGACTTCCAGGGGCATGTGATCAATGTTATCTCTATGGAAGTAAGTTGAATATAATTGTCCAGTATTAACCCTTAAACTGCTCAGCATAAGGGGTCATAATTTGAAAAATATTCGAATTATGTAGAAATTACTTAAAAATGTTAAACAAATCTCCAACTTGTTGGCTTCAGCGTCGTGAAACTTTCATCAAAATATTTTCAGACAAATATTTAAAAAAAAGTTTTATTGATAAGGAGAACAGCTCCTATTAACTGGAACTGATGGATAATGCAATATTAAAGAGATGCAAGCACCTGTCCGATGCACAAAGAAGAATAGTAGTAAGAAGTGTCCATAAAGTGGATATGCAGCTGGTGCCTTTATAGCATTGGTGTGTAATACATACTGTATTAACACAAATAATAATGAGTAAGTATGTTATTATGCTCTATTTTGTTATATATCATATAAATACATTGCCCAAAGTTATTATCAGTTACTTTCAACGATGTTCAAAAAATATTTTTTTTTTTTTTTTTTTTTTTAGTTTTCTTCCTCCTTTGTTTATTATTTGAATTTGTTGTGACCTTTACATCCTGGAGAGTGCATACCCATCCCTAAATATGTGAAGACAGAATAAAAATGGTCAACAAATAAATCAGTCAAAACTCTCAGAACTTGGGACTGATTTTTTTGGCTGATTTTTTAAGATTTCAAATTATATTTTCCTTGTTTCTTTGTTTTGATGATTAGGGACCAGATTAGGGATTTTTTACTTATATAAGTATACCCCTAAATATATCCCCTAAATCATTATAATTATCCCTATATTTGTTTGTTTGGGGTTATTTCTTGACTTCATTTCGATACATATTGACCTACAACTTTAACATATTCTAGTACGAATGCTAAACAATGTTTATTAATTAATTAATTAATTAAAGCATACAAGTAAATTCACGAATAAGAACTGCCTTATTCATTGTCGATAACTTCAACTTCAATTATATTTATAACTAGAATTTCAACTTACTTTAGTATCCAAAACTCTAGTTTCTGACTGATTCTCACCATTTTTACATATAGTGTGCACAGCTGTCTGTTCTACAATCCCTATAGAATTGATTTTTCATAAACTCTAAATGTTTGGAGTTATAAATTTTTGTTGTCTAAATTTGCGCATATTTCAAATGCCATATTGACAATTTTTTTACAGTAAACTAGACTGAAAACCTATATTCTAAATATATTAAAATGAAGATCATATGCTATTCTGAGAGCATAATAACACCAAATGAACAATTGGTGATATTTTATATTTTTGCAGCTGATTTCAAAATCTGAAGTTTTTGATATTCAATTTTATAATTATTTATATTTTCTTGTTTTTCAAGATACACTAGCTGCTATCATTTAGACAAAGTTGAAGCATTTGCCTAATAGATTATTCAGAAAACATTTGAAAGAGTTTCAGAAAATTTAAAAACTGAGCTCAATGTCACACTTCATATGAAGTTTTGCGCAGTTTAGGGGTTAATAGTTTTCGTAATTGTGTATGTAATCGTTTCTCTGATACAGGTCTTTAGTTGCAGTATTGTGCAAGTACCCACCGAAGCCACAAATGCCAAAACACTGTTAGGTTTTAAAATCCAACTGGAATGGATCATCACGGCAAATGGGGGGGACCTTCGACAAGCCGCCGGCTTCCTGTCCTTTTCGAGGCCACTAGTGTTAGTGGCCCTCAGGTAAATCAGGTTAAAGAAAAGTCTTGTGTGTGCAGTATTGATGGTGTAGAACTGTAGATAGTTTACTGTCATGGTTGATCTATGTGAAAATTTAATTATGAAGGAGCCTGTTCACAAAGTGAAATTATAAAGTGAAAATTAAAGTGAAATTAAGTATCTAGGCTTAACGATTTAAAAAAAAAAAGGGGGGGGGGGGGGAATGTGAGGAGATGGTTAAAAAACAAGAGGTGGAATGAGGGGAGGGGAGGGGAAGACAGATTATCCCGGGCACAACTGGGTACCCCTCTTAGCAAACAATAACACAGCAGAGCAGATATATACTTTTACAACAAACCAAATTTCAGTTGCATATGCAAGATATGGTCCTGCTTGTTACAGTACAAGCAGGGAAGTTTCTGTACTGGATTGAAAACAGATGACTAATGAAAGGCAGGCACCTGCACACGCAGGAAACCATATCATGCCATGGCATGGCATGGTTTAAGCCCCAAAATCATCTCGTGATAACCTGAAGAAGATGCACCGGGCACCAGAGGCACAGTGCTTTACGGGCTACTTATGCCCATGCCACCTCTTGGGTGACTTAATCTTCATCAATCATCAATTGGTACAGTGCTCCTTACGAAGCAAGTCGCCGAATGCTCCACACACAAACATTGCATTATATTAACAAGTTAATATTATTTTTTGTAATAAGTTAATATAATATTATATTTTAATATCTTGTTAATATATTAACAAGTTAACATTGCAGTATAACTTGAATTAATAATAACGTGAAGTTTAACATTGTGAGATTAACCTTGTATATTAAACTTTGGTAAGTGTAACAAGGGTAAATTTAATAATGTGTAACTGCCATATTTACTGCAAGAAGTTAGAACACATGTGGAATTTTTGTGTGAACAGGCATCCAAGATGAACAAAATTCTAAATTACTCTTAAGTATTGTTAAAATTATTGTAAATATTATAGTTTAGGCTTAATTACATGGGATTAATATTCACACCTGATATTTTGCAGTATGCGCCCCAGATGATGAAATCTGCTCCATGCACCGAGGAGAGTGCCTGCCCTCAAAACCGTCTTGGTGGGTTGTATGTTACTGATTTATTATTTTTTATTGATGAACTGTGACTAATAAATTAAAATAAGTCATCTGAAACAAAAAAAAACACCTGCATATTATATATATATATATATATATATATATATATATATATATATATATATATATATATATATATATATATATATATATATATATATATATATAATATAAATAATATTTTAGTTTATGCAGGCAAATTGATTTCCATAAGAAGCATTCTTAGCAAACCAGATATATATATTTTTGTTTACTTAGATATTCAAGAGTTCTTACATTCTTGTACAGCCACTAGCACTCGTAGCATTTCGGGCAAGTCCTTAATTCTATGTTCCCTTGAATACGAACGACCCCACCAAATCGTTTAACAGCCAGGTAACCATTTTACTGTTGGGTAAACAGAGGCTACAGTTAAGGATTGGCGCCCAGTAAATCCCCGGCCAGGATACCAACCCAGGACAAAGCGCTTGCTGTACTTTGATTAAATTGCAGCAGACACAAAAATTGTACCAGATTCCAAATCTGAACAAGCTTTTCAGATTTTAACTCCTCCCCTATCTCCCAAAAGAGACTGGTTGTTGCAGCTGCTTGGGGTCTTCTCCAACTGAGTGCAGAGCCTCGTGTCTACCGTTGGCAGAAATATTAACTCCTCAGATGGTAATAAACTATGCCTAACCTGCTCATTAGGAATTTCACAAAAGATGGTTATGACACAACCGACCCAATCAATTAGTAATGACATGTCTTGATCAGAACAATTATTCATTTCTCTTCCTTATTATCTTAATTGGTACAGTACTTTAAAATATCAGAGTTGTAGAGTAAATCAGCAATGAACAAAAATCATCGACAGAAAAAACACAAACAGGATTTTAATATATACTTTAAAGTGATACTTAGTAGACCAACACATGCCATATTTAAAGATAAACTTTCACATCGAAAATTAAATGTACAAATCAGGTGGGCATATATGGTGATGGAAACAGTAAGACCCGGTCATGTCTCCAGTAATACATAAGAGGGCCATGTCTCCAGTAATACATAAGAGGGCCATGTCTCCAGTAATAAATAAGAGGACACACACCAGTGAACCCGAAGCCTCAATTGGAATTGTCCGCAAGCAACACGAAGATTGCATCAGGAGTGTTCCAGTAGTGATACAGGCCTGGGTGATGCAAGTATTCCAGGTAGTGATACAGGCCAGGGTGACGCAAGTGTTCTGGTAGTGATACAGGTCGGGGTGACGCAAGTGTTTCAGTAGTGATACAGGCCAGGGTGACACAAGGGTTCCAATAGTGATACAGGCCAGGGTGACGCAAGTGTTCCGGTAGTGATACAGGTCAGGGTGATGGGAAAAGAGCAACAGCAATAAAGATAATGATGGGTAAAAAACAGACATTATGTTGTCAAGACATGACTTTTGCCTATCTTGATAAGCAGAGTTTGCCAGAATTAGTGGAGAGACCTTAACTGTTCTTGACGGCGACTCCAGCGTGGTCTAGTCAGATGTAAACGTGTTCTCATTTGGGTAGATTATGATCGAGCCTCTCGGAATGCTTGTGTAACTACAGGGCACAGATTTCCGTGTCCCCTCCTGTAGCTGCTTTAGTTTTGGCAGGTTCCCTGGATAGCTGGAATTTAAGCCATAGGAAACTGGCAAAGGGGTAAAATCAGTTGGGCCCACGGATGGATTCCTTGGATCCAATGACCTAGGGCAGGTCTAATCACTTGGGATTTGAACCTACGGTGGGGATAAGGGAGGAAATAACTGGACACACACTGCAAGAAGAGTAAGGGGAGACATGATCACAACCTACAAAATCCTCAGGGGAATCGACCGGGTAAACAAGGATAAACTATTCAACACTGGTAGTACGCGAACAAGGGGACAGAGGTGGAAACTGAGTACCCACATGAGCCACAGGGACGTTAGAAGGAACTTTTTCAGTGTCAGAGTAGTTAACGGATGGAATGCATTAGGAGGCTGACTTCATACACTGTTTCAAAGGTAGATATGATAGAGCCCAGTAGGCTCAGGAATCTGCACACCAGTTGATTGACAGTTGAGAGGCGGGACCAAAGAGCCAAAGCTCAACCCCCGCAAGCACAAATAGGTGAGTACACACACTCGCACTGATATTTATGAAATATAGCAAGAACAGTATTATTTCATATGTATGTATATATGTACTCGCCTAGTTGTACAACTAGGTGAGTAATACAATATATACGTATAGGTAAGATTGAGGGAAGGGGAAGATTATTGCATGTCGATGTTTGCAGATGATGTAAATGAGGATGATCCAAATGAAGTACTCAGTATAACTGCAAGATGACTTGTAAAGACTACCATCAAGGTTCAACAATTAAGTGGTTACTGGAGTTGAATCCAGGTAAATTCAGATAAGTGTAATAAAGATAGGACTGGGAAAAGCAGATACATGACTGTGTACCATCTGAGCGATAATAATTAACTCTAGGTACAGTATCATGTACTGTAGACAAAAAAGCTTGTGAATTGAGATGGTATCAAATCTATCTCTTGGGGCTTATGTATAAATTTGATGACAGCAGAGCATGCAGTAAAAGCTCAAACGTATGGGATTAAATTATGTGGAAACAACTACTGTATATACAAAAATAGAAATGTGTAGCATTTATGTTATTAACGTAAAGAAAGTTTTTAATTACCAGAATCAAATATTTAAGAATTTGAGATTAATTTCTGCTGCTCTGTATTATCCTACATTCTGGGTAATCCGATAGAGTAAATTCTTCATTTCAGTGGGCGTCACATTGGGGAATTCAGCAAAAGCGGTAAATGAAACTGCTTACTATGAAGGTTACTTGATTGACATTTTACTCACCCTTGCCACGGCTCTCAACTTCAGGTATGTTAAATATTTTGAAAATTATTATTTCTGCTTCATGTAGCATATTTGGGTTAGGTAGAGGCCTATTGGAATATGATAAATTTATCGTGATCTGTTTAATTGAAGTTGGATTATTTTTCACTTTTCCTATACAGTACTTGGGAATGCACTATGCTCTTCTTGTCTTTTACGTATTCTTAAACTTATATATTTTATTAAACTTGCAGTATTTGTCCACTGTTATCATGTTTAAGTGTCTGCAGCTAGTAGCATACCAGGATATTGCTTCTCATTCATTATAGTATTTTATTTACAAGAAGGTACAATGGGTTGGTGAGATTACATTAGTGATATTTTTACATTCTTGCAAAGCCACTAACACGCATAGCGTTTCAGGCAAGTCCTTAATCTAACATATCGGATAAGGTGAAAAAATACATTGTAGCAAGGTTTTATATCAACAATATAAATTGACAGAGGGGGATTACACTCGTAAAGATTAAGTACAGTACAGTACTTAATTAGTTTTAAATACTAATATTGGGGAAGTGGGTAGTACAAGATACAGTGTGAGTTTGAAGTGCAAGGTAAGAAACTATGAAGATGAAATTATATGTAGGTACTTTATTTTACTTTTGAACAGGGCATAGGTTGGAAATTTGTTTAATTCATCAGGGAGTGAGTTCTACAGACTGGGTCCTTGGAGTGTTTGTTTATTTATTTAAAATAGTAACATGGCATGGAGTGTTTGCCACAGATTGCATGGCAATCTGCATGGAATGTTTGCACAGATTTAGCTTGACTAGGGATATCAAAGATATATTTATTTCTGGTGTGCTGCTCATGGGTTCTGTTACACCTATCAAGGAAAAGTTTCAGATCATGATTAGTATTTAGGAACAAGGTTTTGTATATGTAGATAGCACATGAGACTGTGTGGAATGTGTGTGTTTACCATATTAAGGGACTTAAATAGAGGGGCTGTGTGTTGTCTGAAGACAGTTTGTTATAGTTCTAATACAGTAGTAGATTTTTGCTGAGTGATGATATGCTTGAGGTAATTTGCAGTGGTTGAACCCCATGCACAGATACAGTATGTAGGATAAGGAAAGATTAGTGCATAGTATAATGAGAGGATTGCAGTGTGGAATATAACTGATATGAACGATCTCTCTTGTTAGAAACTGTGGCTCTGGCTTAGGTAATATAGCCACACTTGGGCCTTATCGGTCTTAGGTAATATAACATCACCTCGATCTTGTGAAGTTAGAGAAAGAGTGCTGTAGAGTGTTAAGTATTTTATTAAATGGACTGACCTGTCGCACTATCTTCATCAGTTGATCTCACTGTGTGCACGTGCGTTCGGAGGAGGATGTTAGGTTATTAGACAATACTGTATACTGACACCCTGCCACTTTTTCTCTCTCTCCAAAGATTTGTTAAAAATTAAAAAAAAGTTTTTTACAAATGTATCATACTTTACTTTGAACTGTCTTGTATCCAATTTCATTAGAATTGTTGCCATTTTCCTTGTTTTTTATATTTTGTTCTTTACATGCTTAATCATGGACAATGAAGTTGAAAGCTCCTTAAGCAATTTCAGTTCTACATAATCATCCTAATATTTTATGACTTATTTAAATTCTCAATCTTTTTAGACTGTACAGTATTCGGGAGTGCAGGAATATTGTTTAGTATTTTGATATAGTGTCGTTTGTATTGACAGAGTGAACTTGAGCATCCTGCACCCAGATGATGCTGTGGTTGGTGTTGACACTGGCGATGGCAACTACTCCGGCCTCGTGGGGGCTCTTCAGTCTCTGGTATGGATTACTTTCATTACTAATGAGGCATTTTTAAATGGCTGCCCATGTATTATGGCATTACTCATACATGCCTCTTCTCCCAGTTTAAATGGTTTACTTACAGGCCTTTGTACCAAACCCAGAGCTTGTGTGAGGAAATCAGTGTTCCATCAATACAAGACTGCTGCAGTACCTCAGGACCCCTAGAGGATTCAATGGAATCCCAGATTGCATCGCTTCTGACCATGTCCTAGTGTAGTTTGTTTGGGAGTACAAAGTGAGCAGGTACTCACTTGGTACTCCATCCTCCTAATGGCTCCTACTGATTTTCTCACCGATACATCACATTAATGTGACTTAATTGTGATTTCATTCATCATAGAGCTTGTCCACATAGAAAACAATATTGAATGAGGGCTTGCACGACTTTGCTCCTTACAAAGTTCCCGATCTTTGTAAGGATTGTTAAATCGCAAGTGTTCCTCCAGTCATAGCTTATCCTCTCCCAGGATCGGTCAATTTGCCCTGCACTTCTGAAAAGCCACAGGAAAAGTGGTACCTGTACCCCATAATGATTCCAGACCTGATAAATGGAGTCCACATGCCTGGGCATTGGTGTTTCAAAAGATAGCTAACAGGGTGCACCTGCACCCAAAATGCAGAGGTGATCAGTACACCATCGACTATAGCAGGGCCAACCTACCAATGCATTTTGTCCTGAAATGCAGGTAGAAAGGCCACTGCCCTGACTGCTTGGTCTGGCGATTCTAACATTCTGAAGCGCTTGTGTTAGTTCCGAGGATCAACGTCCCCGTGGCCTGGCCTCTGACCAGGCCTCCTGGTGGGTTGTCTGATCAACCGGACTGTTAGATATGGCTGCTTGCAGCCTGACCTATTAATCACAACCTGGTTGATCAGATATCCTTTGGAGGTGTTCATAAAGTTATATTTTGAACTTGAAACTTTGAAATTTATGCCCTTTGATGTTGAATGTTCTCTCTCAGCATAGCTGTTGCAACTCGATCTAGTTTTTAACAGCTATTTTGCACTCCCTACCCTAACTCCTGGTTGCATGTGGCATTATTTGTATGTGCAGATCTGGAACCAGTCCCTCTATAATATTTTCCAAGCGTAAATTACTCTGTATCTTCCACCTGTGTTCTAGGAAAGAAAGATTAAAAACTTCAAGCAGTTCCAATAATTTAATTAATGTTTTATTGAGTGGATTCTAGCAGTAAAAGATCTTTGCATATACGGTACTCCAGGTCAGCAATTGCTCCATTACTGAATGGGACTGTTATAAATAAATAAGTAAAAATAAATATATCTGGCCCAGAAGTGATCTGAATTCTATGCTTCATGATGAGTGCCAGTGCTTATGATAATCGTTAATGCTATAAATGGCTACATTTTCTTGCAAAAGGTATTTTAGTCTACAAAATTTCTTGTAGTGAACTGGCAAATAAAGTTTAACAACTATTTTGGAATTTACAAAGGTTACAGTTAATTATTAAAAACAATTCTTTTGTATTAATACACAAGTTAGACATGTCAAAATTTTAATAGGTGAAGACACATATATATAATAATTAATTCTGGCAAATATTTTCCCTCATTGGCAGAAAGCTGATGTTGCTCTGTCAGGTTTCTCAATGACACGTGAACGATATCAAGTTATGGATTTCTCGGTGCCAGTTGGTGAGTATTCCTTGTGATTCATAATTATAATATATATAAATAAATTATTATTAAAAATACATGACACAGTGGAGAAATCATATGTAAAATTATATACGGTAATCAATATTCTTCATAAGCTGTATAATATTTCAAATGTAAATTTAAAATCTAATGATACATAAACAAAATGTTATTCGATGGAAACGACAAATAATTAATAGTGATTATTTGTTAATAATGTTTGCTGAAAACTGATAAATTTTACAAGTCAGTCTGGGTGTCTATTATCATAAGAGAATATTAATTGTTATTTTCAGTATGTGATTTAAATTTATATTTGTCATTTAACTCCAATTTTAGGATTAGTAAGTCTGATAAATAAGCTTGCTATTGTTATACAGTATATTAAAAAAACTATTGTGTACACAGTACATAATATATAAAAAAGTCTGACCATTAATCCCCACTAGTACAGTACAGTACCTACCCTATGTATGTACTGTATTTATGTATGTATATGAATAAAAATGTCAAATAGGAAAATAGTGATAAAGTTTTAACTTTGTTATTGCTACATCAGTCTATAGTAGTGTGGCACTGTATATCTGGAGGAACTCTACGCTGCTCACGATTGGTTGGGACACCTTCGTCCTGTCCTTTCACTGGGGAACCTGGCTGGCTGTTGTTCTTCTGCTTGCCATAATGAGCCTTAGCTTTAGTATCATAGTTTGGTATCAGAGTGATGAAGACCCACACTTCAGGAATGGATGCAATGTTTTCTTCATGCTTTTCTCGTGTCTCGTACAGCAAGGTAAATACTTAAGCAATTATTATTTATACACCAGTCAATTAAATTTTGCAGGTTTGAGTGAAATGCCAGTTGAATTAAAAAATTTTTTATTGAATTAAACAAAATATAAATGTCATTAAATAAAATAAATTGGTAAATTAAATTTTTATGGAAATGTATACAAATTGTATCTTAAATTAGTATACATAACTTTTTTTCAATTTGCTTATTTCAAAGTTGCAACATAGTATAGATTGCTGAACGTTGATGTTTTACATTCTTGTCAGGGTCATGGATCCTGCCCGTAACTGGGAGAGCACAAGCTGTCTTATGGATGTTTTGGTTTTCATCATTGGTGTTGTACGCCTCATACACAGCTCGTCTCACATCTTTCTTGACTGTGTCATCTATCAGGCTGCCCTTCTATTCTCTTGAACAAGCTGTTAACACTCCAGGATGGAAAATAGGACTCCTAAGAGGCACTTCAACATCCGAAGAGCTCGAGGTAAGAATTTACTAAATTATGATTGTTAATAATGTATACTAATTTATTTATTATACATGTATTTCTGAAGTAAACTGATTTGATATACCTCCTAAGAAAGAACTACTTAATATATTATCCTTTCCTGTTCTATCATTTTTCATATCTGAAGATTTTCTTATATTTTGGCTAATTGAGGTTCTCCCTAGGTTGAACTACTGACCTTCCCAAAGATGCAACCCCACGACAGTTTCCTAACTCCTGGGTATCCATTGACTGCTAGGTGAACAAAGGCATTAGGTGAAAGGAAATGTGCCCAATCATTTCTGCCCTGCCTCGGAATCGAACCCAGGATCACCAATTTTGAGTTGAATGAAGACAACTGTACTATGAGAACCTTGAGCTTCTATGAGTTTTTAAAATCAAGTCGAGAAAGGGAGGGATGGTACTGTACTGTATTTGTTTTAGAGGTATAGTAATTTGAAATGCCTGGAACTCAAATCTAGCCTAATGAGAATTGTTCTGCTTTGAAACATTCATTACTGCCATGGAAATTACAAATATTTTAACTTTATATCATGGCCTGCTTGATGGGGTTCTGGGAGTTCTTCTACTCCCCAAGCCTTGTGACTTGTGAGAGCTTGGTCCACCCAGGCTGTTGCTTGGAGCGGCCCGCAGGCTCACATACCCACCACAACCCGGTTGGTCCGGCACTTTTTTTTCAGAAAACAATCTAGTTTTCTCTTGAAGATGTCCATGGTTGTCCCGGTAATATTTCTTAGTCGCTGGGAGGATGTTGAACAACCACGGACCTCTGATGATTATACTGTACAGTGTTCTCCGATTATGCCTGAATAGTCATGAGTAATTACTTTTACCCATTTATAGTGTACAGTAATTGTGAATTCTTTGTTCTGCCATTTGTAATTCAATATATCCTGTTTCAAGATCTAAAAAAAATATAAAAGTTTCCAGTAGTCTACTATAATTTGAAAGTGCAGTAGTGTATTAGGTTCTTAAATTTATTTGCTTGTTCTCAGCGCTCTCAAGAGGACTACCTTCAGAAGATACACAATGAGATTAAACAAAACCCAAGTCTGCTCTTCAGCACTGACATGGAGGGCATCAATCGTATATTTACACAGCCACAATATGCAATATTATCCGACAGAATTATTATGGATTATTTACTGAAGGGTAACTGTTCAGTTATAGAGGTAATTAATTGGTTTATCTCCTATACAGTTTTATTCTATTTTGCATTTTCTTATTACAAATACTGTACACAATACCATACAAATTCTATTTCTCTGCATGCCCAAGGTTATATTCATATTACAAAATATGAACATAGCAGTATTTTAAATTTTTGGATTTTCAAAGTGGTTTAGTATTTATTTAATTTCCATTCCTGCAAGCTTTGTATAAAATTATCAAAGAATATTTCTTAAAATTATTTGTTCCACTAGGTACCTGGCAGCTACCTGGGCGGGTATTGGCATCTTGGATTCAGAAAAAGGCTGCCGTATGCCTCCATTATTAACCAAGAGTAAGTAATATGCTAAAAAACTTGGACTATAAACGCTAACTTATACTCATAATGCAGATTTGAGTTTCCTGCACTTAAGAATTTAAAGTATGTCAAGAAACATCAAATGGGAAGTTTACTCATGTTATATTTAGCATGTAAAACCATTATGAAATGAAAACCATTACAGGTAAAAAATTATCTTCTAAAAGTCTGCTCTGAACTTGTGGTTCACTATGTTGTTAGCAATGTTGTGGTCTATACTGTACTACCAATTAAAAAATAGTTACTGTGAAAATAATGTAAATAGCTGGAGGATGTTGAGCAGTTTGAGGAGGTTGTGACATCTCTTGTAATATTTTGAAGTCCATTTTGTTAATGGGCAAGATTGAGAATGGGTAATGAACCAACCTGTCCTCTTAAAAAGAACGTCGCTTTTGGCCGTTTGCCCGTATGGTCGAATTTGGACGTAATTTGAAAATAAAAAAAAAAATGAAAATAAATTTGGGATTTTTTTTTTCAACAACAGTAAGTTAAGGGTCCTCTGATAGGTTAGGTGGGCAGGAAATTCTTATAAAGTTTCAAAACGTTAATTTAAAGTGTCCTCTCATAACCTCTGGGCATACGCCGGACGACTCAAATAGAAAACGGAACGGAACGTCACTTTTGTGAGTCGATTTCATTTCAAATTACGTCCAAATTTGGTCATAGCGTGCATACGAGCCAAAAGTGACATTATTTTTAAGAGGACGGGTTGAATGAACAAGGCTGTAGTGACTGTGCATGAGTCTGAGGTGGGTTGTTTGTCAGTTGGTGCAGTTCTTGAACATGGGTTGTGAGTTAGTTCAAATGGTATCCTTGTTTTATATCCTTATTGTCCTTTAAGTAATTTTGAGAAAAATGATACACAGTACCAGTAATTCTACAATTCTTCTCAGGCTGATCAAGATGTCTTCGGGTGGTATACTTGACCGCTTGCACCAGCGTTGGTGGGGTAAACCCATTCCCTGTGAAGCCCCTTCTCCCTACACAGAGCTGGGATTCTCGTAAGTGTGTTTGAGAGATGGGCTACATCTTTATATTTAATTACTTTAGTCATGGTTACAAGACGAGCCCATTGGTTTTCTCTACTGTCCACTCTGAGCCTCTCCAAGGCCTCTGCTGCCCCGCACTCCTCTCCAGGAGAGGGAGGAGGAAGCAGAGGCCTTGGGGGGGTAGGGGAAGGCTACAGGAGCTCCCAAGTGGCGGGACATCAAGAGGCCTCCCATGACCTCTGATGTCCTGCCACTCATGGAGGAGAGAACATAGGCCACAGGGGGGGGTGGCTCCAGGAGCTCCCATGCCTTCTGCTCTCCTCCCTCCCCACCTGTAGCCCCCATGGCCTCTGCTGCCCTTAACCATACAGGAAAGGGGGCTCCAGAGGCCACTGGAAGCTCCAGGAGGAATCTTCTTCCTTCTTGAGGTTATAGGTTATCCTGAGATGATTTTGAGGCTTAGTGTCCCTGCGGCCCGGTCCTCTACCAGACCTCTTTTTTGTTACATATCTCTGGGAAGCAGCCCGTAGCAGCTGTCTAACTCCCAGGTACCTATTTATTGCTAGATGAACAGGAGCATCAGGGTGAAAGAAACTCTGCCCATTTGTTTCCATCTCTGCTGGGGACTGAACCCCGGAACCTTAGGACAAAGAATCCCAAGTGCTGTCCACTCAGCTGATGGGAGGGACGGGGAAGGGGGCCCCCAGAAGTGAGAAACAGGGGGGGCTACTGCAGTCTTCGCTGTCCCCTGATTCTGGAGCCCCCATCCCCCATTGCGGAGAATCCTGAAGAAGACACCCCCATCTATGTTCCCCCCCCCCCTGTAACGAGGAGGTGGGGGGAAATAGCTCTATCTTGTCCATTATTCCACCCCCCAGTTAACTAACGAGGCCGGGGGAAACAGCTCTCTCTAGTCCGTTATCCCGTCCCCAGTTAGCTAACTATTCTAGAGCACCTCCAGAGTTCCTAAGGCAACCTCTCTCGTTCAACACCTTGTAACCTAGGTATTTGACTACCTAGGTGCTAAGACTACAAGGCGCCGTAACTGGATCAGCTACCCGAAACTCTAGAGAGACTCTAGAATACAGAATCATTGCCACAAACGTATAAGAGAAAACGAGAGGAAAGAAATGAATAGTGAAGTAATTAGTGAGGGTTTGGGGTGAGAGGTAGGGAGGTGGGAGGAGCGAGGAGGGTCATTAGTTGAAAGTGAGAGTTTAGAGAAGGGTGGAGGGAGAGGTGTAGATAGGTAGAAGTAGAAGAGTAGATAGTAGAAGTAGAAGAGTAGATAGTAGAAGACGAAATGCTGCCACCATCCATTCATGATCATTACATACAAGACAAGGAATGGAACTTGCCTGTATCACAAAATTCTCAAAAGATGTTATCATGAGTTCATTATTAGTATGTTCCCTCTGTACCATGTACTCCTTAAAATCAGGGAACCAATAATCCCCGAGGCTTTCTCACCTCAACTCTAAGCTCTAGGGAACAAAGTTAAACACAATTTAAATAATAAATTCATAATTATATTTCCCATGAAGTATCATAATTTAGCAATTCAATTAAAATGTTCCAGTTAATATGCAAAGTGAGTCATCATCCAAGAATTCGAGAACCCTACAACTTGACTGCCCCTCATCATCACACAACATATGTAAAACACGACAAGTCACCTTAATGTTCACTCACCGAGTACTGAGTCTAAGTTGAATAGAGAGGGGGGGGGGGGGTCTGTAGCTTGACAGAGACTGTCTCGCCCCTGCCGGCCGACAGCCTCCCAGGTAGGGAGCAGGTCTCTGCTCTCGTCTGCTGTTCTGTCTCTTAATGCTCTATGCTGGATAGCTCTCCGAGTTTATATTGGGGAACCTAGTAGCTAACTCCGCCCACAAATAGATAGCCTCCGGCACTACCAAGCCACTCCTTAAACGTCGGCTTGTTTGAAGGCTACCAGACTACAATTAAGAGCTTAGCGGAAGCAAGGTGAAATTCTCATGATCTGACCTCAGGTCACTTGAGGTCATTAACGCTTTGAGGTGTGAGATCTCAGGCAGACAACTGGCGCCTCTCAGATCCTTGTCTGTGACTCATGTACTCTATATATATTTTAAATAACCTAACCCAAACACTTTTACAGTGTTACATCTCCCCTTCTCCCCGAAAATAAAGTTTTTGCAACACTGCTAAAGCAAGCTAGCTGTGTGCGACAACTTTATTAACGAAAAGAATACATCCTAGCTAAACAAATATACATCATCCTACTCTAAAAAATGAAATATGTAGACAGACGTCCATTGTCTCTGGCTGGGCGACGTCACTGCTTGGTCTTGTAGATAATCCTGTACCACATTTCTTCAACACAACTGCCTCCGTCGCTTCTCCGTCGTTAACGCACAACAACACTTGGTCAACCCGAAAGCCGTTACTACTTGAACTGAGCACAGGACCGTGGAATTCGGTTGTCCCAGCTGATCTGTAATTGGCCCTACGTCAGTCACCATGAGAGACGTATATTGGGGTTCTTCACAGCTATAGGGACTACAAGTTTCGAGACCTTCATATAGTTGCCAACAGTAGAAATCCCATCCTACTCTTCTTCCTCCCTGTTGCTCCAGCACGCCTCCTTCAGAGAGCTACTTCTGACAGCCACATCAAGTCCGCATGACACAGGAAGAATCACTCAACAGAGCAACATGCTTGTAGGAGGGGCGGCCAGTTAAGGCAAACGATCCTGTCTTGCAATTACGCTCCATGCAATGATGCTGACACCAGCAAGGGACACTAGGCATCGTGTCTCACTCAGCTTGTCTTATCTTCTTCTTTCTTCTCTCTTCTTTCTTCTCTCTTCTTTTCTTTCTCTTCTTTCTTCTCTCTTCTTTCTTCTCTCTTCTTTCTTCTCTCTTCCTCCTCCCATGGGTCTTTGACAAGCGACCTGGGGTCCATTGGGGTCCGTCCGTCCTGGGGTCCATCCTGGGTAGACCGATGTTGGTGGGACAGACTGGAGTCGTTGTTGTTCCTCTTCCATCTTTACTGGGTCGTCTGGGGTCGTCTGCAGAACGACCTGGGGTCCACTGGGGGTCCGTCCGTCTTGGGGTCCACTGGGTACCAATGTTGACCGACCGAGAGGGCTGCATCTTGGGGTCCCCTGGGGTGGTGGTGGTGGTGGAGCCATGACCTCCAGGTAGTGGGCTGGTCGTGGTGGTGGTGATAAACGCCCCTGAGTGTGGTACACAGCAGCCGTCTCCCTCTTTTGTATGTGCGTCTCTCCTCTCTTCTGGCTCCCACCTGTGGATGAACAGAAAGGCGACAATATCGTGCTCCCAAGATATTTGTGTGACCCTGTAGTTTGTATAGGGTTACACAGTCATATCATAACGCTCTCCTCCTGGCAACAACTACACTTCAATTTTTAATAATCCAATTAACTCTGAATGATATTGACTTGGTGGAACATAAAACAGTAACAGAGTAAAGTTAGAGAAGAGAGAATAAGGTCATCACTACTTTTAACTTGTCACGCAAAAAAAATCAACACTAATAGACAAACACTAGCCTAAACTTAACTGTACCTTTCCTAATCTTAAGTACATAATTAACCGTTACTCCCACCCTTAACCTACAGCCACCTACGTGACCCAGAGTGTTTTCCTAGCTTCTCCGCCGGTCAACAACTCCAAACTGTTGCCACCCCTGTGACCAGACTATCTAACGTCGAGCGTCCCCAACGTGAAGTCTACTGACATACTAAGCCTCCCCCTAGCATGCTGTACAATACCAGTACACCTCGGGTTATTGCGTTCAAATGGAGTAAAACAGTCGATCGCAATAATCTGAGCAGAACCACTACTTAAAATCTATTTAAGAACTACACCTGCCACTCCCCACTGACCTGGAGACCAGCGGTGGCTGGGTGTCCCCGTGGGACATGCGAGGTCACCTGTCACACTCAGCTGACCTGCACTACCAACACCGCTAAGTTCCCAAATCGCCAAATCTTATTACTAACATAAATCACTACACACGCAAGTTCTGGTGAACATTCCCTGAACACCACAAAACTCACAAAATCACTAAACACAACACCAGAGAATCACCATCTCCTAACCTGAAAAAAAGTTCGCTAACTCGCGAATAATAAACACCTGTCAAGATCTCCCTGATAGCGCCTGAGCGGCAAAAAGACACGTGGGACTGAACAATGTTAAAAGAACACCAACTACCTACAACATTGTTCAACACCGCTGCCAACATTGTAACGGGGGGTGGGGGAAATAGCTCTATCTTGTCCATTATTCCACCCCCCAGTTAACTAACGAGGCCGGGGGAAACAGCTCTCTCTAGTCCGTTATCCCGTCCCCAGTTAGCTAACTATTCTAGAGCACCTCCAGAGTTCCTAAGGCAACCTCTCTCGTTCAACACCTTGTAACCTAGGTATTTGACTACCTAGGTGCTAAGACTACAAGGCGCCGTAACTGGATCAGCTACCCGAAACTCTAGAGAGAACTCTAGAATACAGAATCATTGCCACAAACGTATAAGAGAAAACGAGAGGAAAGAAATGAATAGTGAAGTAATTAGTGAGGGTTTGGGGTGAGAGGTAGGGAGGTGGGAGGAGCGAGGAGGGTCATTAGTTGAAAGTGAGAGTTTAGAGAAGGGTGGAGGGAGAGGTGTAGATAGGTAGAAGTAGAAGAGTAGATAGTAGAAGTAGAAGAGTAGATAGTAGAAGACGAAATGCTGCCACCATCCATTCATGATCATTACATACAAGACAAGGAATGGAACTTGCCTGTATCACAAAATTCTCAAAAGATGTTATCATGAGTTCATTATTAGTATGTTCCCTCTGTACCATGTACTCCTTAAAATCAGGGAACCAATAATCCCCGAGGCTTTCTCACCTCAACTCAAAGCTCTAGGGAACAAAGTTAAACACAATTTAAATAATAAATTCATAATTATATTTCCCATGAAGTATCATAATTTAAAATTCAATTAAAATGTTCCAGTTTAATATGCAAAGTGAGTCATCATCCAAGAATTCGAGAACCCTACAACTTGACTGCCCCTGATCATCACACAACATATGTAAACACGACCAAGTCACCTTAATGTTCACTCACCGAGTACTGAGTCTAAGTTGAATAGAGAGGGGGGGGGGGTCTGTAGCTTGACAGAGACTGTCTCGCCCCTGCCGGCCGACAGCCTCCCTGGTAGGGAGCAGGTCTCTGCTCTCGTCTGCTGTTCTGTCTCTTAATGCTTTATGCTGGATAGCTCTCCGAGTTTATATTGGGGAACCTAGTAGCTAACTCCGCCCACAAATAGATAGCCTCCGGCACTACCAAGCCACTCCTTAAACGTCGGCTTGTTTGAAGGCTACCAGACTACAATTAAGAGCTTAGCGGAAGCAAGGTGAAATTCTCATGATCTGACCTCAGGTCACTTGAGGTCATTAACGCTTTGAGGTGTGAGATCTCAGGCAGACAACTGGCGCCTCTCAGATCCTTGTCTGTGACTCATGTACTCTATATATATTTTAAATAACCTAACCCAAACACTTTTACAGTGTTACATTCATTATATCCAGATAAACAATGTGAGCCACCACACAGAACTTTGAGAGTCACTACAGCTGTTTGCCCCTAGAGATCACACAACATCTTAGTACACGAAATAAGTCGCCTTTCAACTCACCAAGTGAGTTGGATAGCAGGGGGGGGGGGGCAGTTGGTAGGGTCTGCAGTTGACCGGCAGAGTCATCCTCGGTCCGGCCAACAGCCTAACTCGGCTGCTGTCTTCTGCCCGGCTCTGCTCCTGTTGTGCTGTTTCTATCTCCTCTCTCTCGAGTGCACAGTACCCTGGGTATATATTGGGGACCAACTAGCTAACTCCACCCACCAGTAGATAGCCCCAGGCACTCTACCAAGCCACACCTTAAACTGGCGGCTTGTTTGAAGGACCCCCCCCCACTCCCCGGATATCCGGCTGCAATTACAGTATGAGCTTAGCAGAAACCAGGTCAACTTCACACGACCTGACCTTGGTCACTTGGTGGTCATTAACTCTAAGAGGTGTGACTTTCTTAATTACTAGGGGCTGCCAACCTGGCACCTCTCAAACTTGTCTGTGACTCCTGTGCTATGTATATATTAAATACAAAACAACTTTATGGTATTACACCCCCCACTGTGGCCTCTGCTCCTGGAGACTCCCACCCCACACATTGTGGCCTCTATAACCTCCCTCCTGGAGCCCCCATGGCCTATGCTGTCCTTGCCCTCTTGGAGCCCCCTTTGGCTCCAAGACTGTTAAAAAAATGTTATATGTATCTTGCCCAGTTATTTTCTTAACTTTATAAGTTGCAGTTCCAAAAATTATGAATATTTAATTCATTTGATCCATTGGAGAATAATTTGTACAATTAATTTCACATCCAAAAGATTGCATGTAAGATTATTTTGCAGTAGCAGAATAAGTGTTGGTCATTTTTTTAGAGTTGTTTATAATGATTTGTTTGGCAGTCATAAGCAGTTTCTGTGAAGGATAAAGATATTACTGTACAGTGTTTCTGGGCTCAGAATGGTGAACCAAGAGGTATAAAATGGCTAATGGGTTTAGTTTGCCCACCAGTTTTCCTGATACTTTTATCAATAAATTTTTTTTGTTTGACTATTCTGTGTATTTTTAACATAAAGTAAAATTAATCATTTGTATTTAGAATATGAAAATATTGTGTCTCATGAAATTAGTGCAATGGGTATTTTTCAAAACTCTAATCTAGAGCTAACAATGCAATTCATTATGTAATCCTTTGTACTGTCATTTTTGTTCTTTCCTAAGCTTCTGAATGTTTTGTCCTTTTCAAGGACCAGTTTGATAAGCAAATGTGAACTTGATATGTTCACTGAGAATTTTACTTAAATAATGTAGTTTTCATAGTGAATAGCATTGCATTGTAGCCTTGGCTTAGGGCTACAAAATGAAACACGGACCTAATTTGTCTGAGAATGACTACCAGACCCAAATATGATGTAAACATTCGATGACCTCCCACCCTTCCTTCTCACCTATCTTTTGGTGAATCATAAAATTTATATGATGTAACTAATGTTTGTACGGTATGTATTTTCTACTGTCTTAAAATCATTTTGAATATCTTATCCAAAATGTGTCTAATTTTTCTCTTTTTCTTTTCAGTAATATCTTGACTGCCTTCATCTTACTGATTGCTGGAGGCATTTTATCAATACTATTATTGATGTTGGAACTGTGCTATAAACCTCGATCAGGCCAAGCCTTAATGTCTTCCAATGCTATACCTTCAACTCTCAAAACTAAAATCTCAGACTAATGAATAGAAAATCAAATATTAGTTGCAAGTCAAAGTTTTGAAAGTAAAATAAGTGACATTGATAAAAATGCAATGTGAAAAGGTTAAGACATGATTTTGGTTTCACAAGTTAGATTTACTCAGTTTACAGGTACTGTAACCAGGTTTGTTAAAATCAAACAAGCTCCATATTCAAAACTGATGAAGGCAGGAACAAACAGAAGTGGGTGCAAAAGAAACAGACGAGAAAAATTTTATCGAATTTTATAGTACAAGTTGTGCAAATATGAAAGATGGCCAGATATCTTCAATTGCTCAAACTGTGTAAGGAGCTTTGTTTTAAACCAAGGTTATGCACTATTGAGTAGCAACTATGCCATAGAAACAGCTTATTTCAAATGTCCATAACTGGTCTATAATCCTGTCTCTTCTACTGGGCTACCGAGTACACCTTGCATTATCAATCCTTAAATGACACTGGAGTTCAGATGCTCTTTCAATGCCAGTGTCATTGTAATATTAGTCTCAGTCAAGACAAAGTACAAGCCAATTTTCCTTATTCTTTGGAATCTTTTTGTAAGCCAAGGAACAATTAACCTCATTCAAATTGAGACAGCCAATGAGGAACAAGATGAATACTCAGTGAGCTCTTATTACCTAGTCTCCTAGCCACAGGGTAATATGATATAAAATGCTACTAATGTATATGCATACTGTATTCTTATTTACCACATTGTTTTAGCTTTAACAACTTTATTTAATGATTCAATATTTAATTAAGCGCAATTGCCATTTTGGAATCATGTAAGAGTTGGCTTGTCACAGCTGTTCTCCCCCCCCCCCTCCTTCCTCTCCATGGGGAGAACAACTTTCTTGATGAGGCAAGGGAGCTTTTGTGCACAACTCTCAAGCAATTGTGAATAGCTTCTGCTCCATTATTTTGTCTACTGTGCAATACCCCCAATAATGCAGGAATCTCTTGGGTTGTTGGACCAACGGGAGGGGCTGCCCTGTGTGAATTAATATAAGTAGCCAAGCTGGGGCATGAGGAAAATGCAATCTCCACATTTAGTGTGAGCTGACTGTTTGGATCAGTGGTCCCCTGTTGAAAATGGAAATACCACTAGGAATAAGGTATTAGCTACACCTGATCATGCTTAGATATACTCTCCTCATCAACTTTGCATCATCTGCAAAGCTAGAGAAGTACGAGCTCACTCCCTCTGTGAGGTCATTTACATGAATCAAAAACAGCAATGGTCCTAGGACAGAGCCCTGAGGAACACCACTTTCCACTCATCTCTAGCCTGATATAACCTCTGTTTACTGTATATCCCTTTGTTTTCTGCCTGTCAAATACCTTTGTACCCAGTCCAATGCCTTTCCTGCTATCCCTGCTTCTCTCTCCATCTTGTGTATTAGTCTTTTGTGAAAAACTGTCAAAAGCTTTTTTGCAGTCTATCTGTCCTTTTTTTCTTTTGTCTTATTTTGGTGATTGTCATAGAGAAAATTATGTTTAACTTGATTGACTTCTATCTGAAGCTGTGCTGTGCCTCTTATAGAACATTTGGAGAGTAAATTTTATAATTGTTATCTTGACTTTTTTCTAAAATCTTGCATGGAATGAATGTTAATGACACTGATCTATAGTTGAGTGCTTCATATTTGTCTCCTTTCTTGAATACTAGAACTACATTTGCCTTTTTCCAGATTCCCAGCAACTCTCCTGTATCCATTGTAATGTTGAATACAATAGTTAATGGGTAACAAGCTTCCTGCAGCTTTCTTTCAGTACCTGTGGTGATATCTGGTCTGGTCCTACTGCTTTTGTTACATCCAATTCCTCCAGGTATCTTTTTACCTTCAGTTCTATCTAGTGTTGTTTTTGATTATGTCATTCCTACTTGGATACCAATTTGGCTCTAATTTCAAGACCTCCTGGAAGCTCTTGTTGAATTCTTCACTTCCTTATCATTCTCCAAGGGTGTTCCTCCCTCTTCCCAAAGTCTAATCACATGATCTCGTATCATTTTTTTCCCTCCTTATATGGCTGTGCAACAGTTTAGGTTGCTTCTATGCTTTTGCCACTGTTATTCTCAAACATCTGCTCCTATTTGCCCTCCTGATTCTTTTGTACTCATTCCTGGCTCTTTTTAGTGCCTCCCTATTTGCATCTGTGCCTTTGACCCCTATACTCTTTCCATGCCTTTTCTGCCCTCTTTACACTGTTGAACCAGATTTGCAGTATTTTTTTTCAACTTCCCTCTTGACAGGTATGATCTGTTTAATTGCTTCTTTGCATTTCTGTGTTAAATGTTCCAGCATCTCATTTGTTGACTTTCCTTCAATTTAATTTTCCTTGAGCCACCACTGCATATAATACCTAACCCCCCTCCTGCATTTCCCTTGTTCCTTGTTCTTTTTCCAACTATCTCATTTATTCTACAATGTAATCAAATACGATAATGCAGTGGTCACTGGCTTCTAGTGGTACCTCGGACTTTAAGTTCTATACATTTTAATTTTGGGTAAACACCAAGTCAAGACAGCAATGGAGGCTGATCTACCAGGTGGTGATCTACCCAGTATGGTAGATGTGTGTGTGCCTATCAGCCCTCAAGAAGTATGGGACAAGACTGAGTGTGATAGAGGGCCTTGGAGCATTCAAGGCAGAGATAAGAAATATGAGACAATCTAGACAAGTGAATGTCAAAGATCAACCCCCTGAGAGCCTAGAATTCTCTATACACAAGATTTCCACAGAAGGAAAATTACGTTTCCTAGTAAAGGTCATACCACAAGTCTTTAGCAGTAGAGAACCCATGAAGCCATGATTGATATCCCAGGATGACACATTATCAAGCACAAGTTGGAGTCGGTGCTGTATGATAGAGAAATCATCACAGCAACAACAGATACCAGTGATGAGCCCTTGTACAAAAATGGCAAAATCTCTGGCCAGAGAACTTCATATTTCTTGTCACTGAACCAAAACTCACAAGTGACCAGGAAAAATCAGGGACACTCAATCTGACCAATATACTGTACTACACTAACTAGGACACTATTAATTAACGTGTAAGCTAATGTGTGACTGGTAGACTGAGAAGGTCTTCAAAACTAGATAAGCAAGGTCAACTTTGCTTAATAATCTGGCTCAGCTTGTCAAAACATCAAGTATCACTGTTAGATATGTAAGATAATGTGAGGTAATACATTTTTATTCAGTTAGCTGAATTAGGTATCGGTAAATTAGTGGTGTCGACGGTGCCACAGCAGAATGCAGTCTCTGGCAAAGTGAAACAAAACAAGGACCAAAAGGAGTCGGTATTATAAATGGGGTACCTGTAAGTATGGGATACTATGAAGAACAAATGGAATATGTAAGTACCTGTACAATCATCCTAGAAAATGCAGAAACAAAAATGATTCAAAATACCTGCCACTCAGATCACAACATAATTGAAGTTCTGACAAGCATGGGGAGTAGACCTGCACAACCAGTCCCAAATCTCGGGGAAGGAGAATTCAGCAAATTCAATTTTAATAATAGATTAACTGGATGTAAATAAACCAAGACCTCACAGAAATTAGCTGGGAAGAACAGCTAGAAAATGCAAACTTGAACCAGTACCTGGACAAAATAAACTCAGTAGCTCTAAAAATATTCTCAAACTGCATACCCCTACAAAAAATGAGGGAGAGATGCAGACTGGAATGGGAATGGTGTTCCCTTTATAGGCAAAGAAAACGAATTGCAGAACAACTTGAAAGTTGCACCCTAACTCAAGAATGATGGAGGTGGTTAAGTAGAGAAATGGAAACGATTGAACTAAAGCTACAAGAATCGTACAAAATCCAAGAGAGAGAGAGCAAAAGGCCATCAATGAAATAGAAATCCGAAATATTTTTTCTCCTATGCAAAATCAGGATAAAAACTATATCTACTATCGGGCCCCTGCAAAAGGGAAATGAAACTTTCACAGATGACAACAAAGAAATGAGCAAAATACTGAGGAATCAATATGATTGCATTTTCAGCAAGCACTAAACACACTAAAGATTGATAACCCAAATTAATTTTTCATGAATGTGATGCCAACATCAAGTTATATATCAGATGTCACCCAATCCCTACTGAATTTTGAAAGCCATAGACTGTATGCCTATGCACTCTGCACCAGGTCCTGACTCTTGGAACTCCATATTCATCAAGAACTGAAAAACCACTATCGCAGCCCTTGACATTGTTTGTAATCAAAGCCTAGATACTTGCGCTATCCCTAACATACTAAAAACAGCAGAGAAAGCACCACTCCATAAAGGAGGAAATAAGGCAGAGGCAAAACATTTGACTGATAGCACTAACATCACACACCATAAAAAATCTTTGAAAAACTGCTAAGTAAGAAAGATGATAAAATACATGGAATCACAGCATCTCCATAACCCTGGACAACATGGTTTCAGAACAGGGCACTCTTGCCTATCACAGTTTCTGGACCACTGTGACATGGCCTTAGATGCCATGGAAGACGAGCAAAACGCTGATGCAATTTACACAGATTTTGCAAAAGCCTTCGACAAATGTGACCATGGTGTTATTGCACACAAAATGCGTTCAAAAGGAATTATCGGAAAAATAGGCGGATGGATCTACAATTTCCTGACTAACAGAACCCAATGTGTAATGGTCAACAAAATAAAATCCAGACCATCAACCGTGAAGAGCTCATTTCCTCAGCATACTGTGCTTGCTTCAGTAATTTTTCTCCTCCTCATGTTAGACACAGACAAGGACACAATCTATAGTACTGTATCATCCTTTGCAGATGACTCTAGGATTTTTATGAGAGTAGACAACATAGAGGACACAGCAAACCTCCAATCAGAAGTAAATTATGTCTTTCAATGGGCTACAGAATATAATATGGTATTTAATGAAGATAAGTTCCAGTTTCTGCGCTATGGAAAATATAAAAACAGAAACCACGTACAAAATGCAGTCAAATCATAACATAGAACGAAAAAGCAATGTAAAGGATTTGGGTGTACTCATGTCGGAAGACTTTACCGTTAAAGGACACAATAAAGTAGCCATCACAACTGCAAGAAAAATGACAGGTTGGATAACAAGAACTTTTCAAATTAGAGATGCTATACCAATGATGATACTCTTCAAGACGCTAGTGCTTTCTAGAGTGGAATACAGTATTGTTGCACAATGACAACCCCTTTCAAAGTTGGAGAGATTGCTGACCTGGAGAATGTACAGAGAACCTTTACTGCTAGAATTCACTCAGTAAAACATCTAGACTATTGGGACCGACTAAAATGCCTGAATCTGTATTCTCTTGAGTATACGTAATAATTTACACATGGAAAATATTAGAGGGGGCTGGTCCCAAACCTGCACACACAAATAACACCACATGAGACCAGAAGGCATGGCAGGATGTGCAGAACACCACCGTTCCAAAGCACAGGTGCAATAAGTACCCTGAGAGAGAGAGAGCTCTATCAACATCAGAGGCCCGAAACTGTTCAACACACTTCCACTACACATAAGGGGCATAACTGACCGACCCCTCACAGTGTTCAAGAGAGAATATGATAAACACTTCCAAAGGATACCTGATCAACCAAACTGTGATTCATACGTCAGGCTGCGAGCAGCCGCGTCCAACAGCCTGGTTGATCAATCTAACAACGAGCAGGCCTGGTCGAGGACCGGGCTGCGGAAACGCTAAGCCCCGGAATCATCACAAGGTAACCGTAAGGTATGTAACACTGGGAATCTTTAATGCTCAAGTGTGAACAGACCACCAAGTCTGTTTATTTCCATGCTAGAAGGATTATCTCCAGTGCCTTCCAAATGCATTATATGGCTTTGCAAGAATGCTACAGGCCATGTAGCAACAACAGTATGTCTTGCTGCAGTGGGAGAATATTATGCCCATGAGAGTGGCAGAATAAGTAACTTAGAAGAAATGCGTTAAGTCTTTTTAGCTTGGTTATGAACACAGATTTCTACCAAATATATTTTTGCAATACATGTACAGTACACACTTTTTATGAAATTCAATATTTGTGCAAAAAGAGTAACTTATGCATTATGGATGCAGTGTAGTTCTACTGCACTGTAATTGAAAATAAGACAAATTACACAGCTGCATTTTTGTCATGATGTCCAAACAACAACATAAAGAGTATATCATATCAATAGCACCATATCAGTTATGGTAAACAGAGAAAAACTAATGTTGTGCCTTGTTTTTTATTTTTGTTAAATAATATAAATTTAGATCCCATAAAATACAGTTTGTTTCAGAAAATATATACAATTCTTTGATATACAAACCCAGCACTTTACCAAAACACTAATAAAATGAAGAAATTCATAATAGAATTTATTACTTAATGTAATGACATTTTATGGATGACAATAAAATATAAGATAAAACTAGCAATGAACTTGTCATAGTCTAGTACATCTGCTGTATTGTTAAAATTCTAAGGAATAAAAGGAAATCAATTCTACAGTTCTGAAAAATTCAGAGTTGGATGTAATGAGAAGCTCTTTTATGGACAGCTTCAGTAGCTTCCTTGTGCATTAGACTGGCACCACAGACACTACTACCAGGCCTAACAAACATCAGGATCAGAATCCGATGTGCTCGTAGAGACGAGGGGAAGCATGCGGGGTCAGAGATTGATCCAAAAGTGAGAAAAACTGCCTAGAAAGTAAAGTTCAAGCAAAGCAAAACCACAGATCTAGATCAGAAAAGTAAACCTAAACCAAAAACAATTAGTTTGTGCAATGATTGTTTACCTTCAACAATGTGCCAAAACGCCCAGCGTTGAATGTAATGAAATGCCGTTTTTCTGGGTGAGCCCCGGAGGCTCTCTGGAACTACTGTATTGGACTGAAATATGCTATATTAGTTTGGGGCTTCAGTTACTGGAGTTCTGCATACTGAAGACTACTTAGCAGAACATAGCCCCCTTAGAGAGGCGCAGGGAGCAATAGCCCTAGGAAAACCCCCCCTTGTATTTGAGGGTATTCCATCTGCCATCAACTGGGGATAGGCACCCAGAAAGGTAGGCATCTCAAAAACCCCACATGGTAGGAAATTGCAAAAAACTTAAGACCGAATGGAGAAACAGAACTCCCCAAAAGAAAACAAAGGAAACAAGCAAACGTCATTCATCGCCACTGCACAGCTTGTCCACACAGTCTTCCTCTCCCAGGGAGGAGAGGGGAGCCCTGGACCCTAGCGCCGGCTTCTCACACCTCAGTTCAGAGGCTGATCATCAAAAAAAAACCTCCAACCAGACGGCGGGTGGGTACAAGGGAGCCTCCGGGGTTCACCCAGAAAATGGCGTTTCATTACATTCCACTCTGGTTTTCTGTAGGGAGCCCCTTCGACTCCCTGGAGCTCCATAACCAAAGATAAGTAAAAAGGGGGACCAACCCGGGAGACGGCCTCACTGTGTACCTCAACCCAAAGACGAGACAACTGAATGCATCCTACGACCCAAGGCAACACAGGAACAGTCACCAAAATACGGGTGGCCAGGACCCTGTCTGACCTCCAAAACCCCCGTACACAAATATCAGCCTAAGACATGTTCCCAAACACAGCGGCCAGAGCACCAAACTTAAAAAAGTATGTGTACGAGGGTAGACCTCAGGCTGGCTAGACTTAAGAACATTGTGGACGACCTTAGAGACCGAGCTATGGAACAGGGAACGAGTGAAATTGGATCAACCCAAAGCATGTCCACGGCCACAGAAGCCGAGGTGCACAGGCAATGGCGCTGAGCCACAATTGGACACAACATAAGATGCACCCCCCGGCATGACTAACCAAGTATCAATAACCCAAGGGCCCCATTGGAAGCCCTTGGGTTATTGGGAAGAGCAGGAAGCTCACTGACCTGCCTTCCAGAGGTTACGCCAACAGAAACAAAGCCTTCTGAAGGTACTCATGAACCAAATTGGCCACCACAACCCGAGAAGAAAGAAAAGAGAGCACCCTGTCCAAGGATCAGGTCGGCTCAGGTGGCGCATGAGCAGGCTGGAGGCGAACAAAGCATAAGAAAACGTACGGAGGAGAAGGGGCAGAAGGAACATCCACACCAAATGCAAGCTGGAGCGGCTCCATCAAAGCAACACGATAAGAGGTGACAGTATTAGACATAAGATGACGGTCCTGAAAGAGCCAAGAAAGGACAAGACAACCCAAACAGAAATAGAAGAGAACCTACAAAGAGAGGAAAAGACAAAAAAATGCCAAGAGACTCCATACTGTTGCTCAGACGAAGACCGCAGGTGGGACACCTTCAATGAGGCCACCTGATCACCAAACAAGAGGTGATACACTTGCGTCAAAAGGACCACCTGATCACCAAACAAGAGATGATACACCTGCGTCAAAAGGACCACCTGATCACCAAACAAGAGGTGATACACCTGCGTCAAAAGGACCACTTCCACTTCTTCCCCCGCGAAGAGCGGGGAAATAGATCGAACAGACCCGAGCTGCTGGAAAAGGCGGAGTCATGGAAAACGCCTTGGGGTTCAGACACCGAACAAGGAAGAAAAGGAACTATCAGATGAAAGTCCCAAGCCATTACGTTTATATAGCACTTGGAAGGGGTCAGGATAAGGATTTGGGATGGGACGGGAGTAGCCGTGTCTGAAACCAAGGCTGGGCCAGCCACACGGGGGCCACAAGGACGACTGTCCCTCGGGAAGACTCCAACTGAGCCAGAACCCAAAGTACCAGCCAGACTGGGGGGAAGAAGTACAAGTAACCCCACCTCGACAGCACCGAAGTCGGGGAAGGGTGCCACATATATCGCGAGATGCTGGGACAAGTCCAACACGAAGAAATCCATCGTCAGGGGCCTGTACGTCCGGCAAAGCCACCTGAAGGAGTTGGCGTCGACCGTCCATTCTGTGGACAGGGAAATGAACCGTCAGGCTGTTTGCCAGGATGTTGGACACTCCCCAGAAGTGAACAGCACGGAGCGCTAAACCCCGAGAATCCAGCAGACGAGTCACCTGAAGCGACATGCCCCAAAGAGCAAAAGACCGAAGAGAACCTCTGCTGTCAAGACAAGGAACCACCAGAGTGGAGTCTGATCGAAGAGACCCGAACGACCCAAACCCACCACATCAAAAACCAAACCGCCGCAACCGCCCACACACTGTGCTATGAGCCTGAGGAAAGGATGGAGCCCACTGCCCCTGGTTGGCCTGGTGAGCACTGTTCACAAAGCCCCAGCCGAGAGACGAGGCATCCGTGAACACATTGAGCGAGGGATTGGGGAGGCGCCAAGGCACTGAATCCCAAAAAATCCGAAGAGGTAGCCGGTGATGTAGCAACTGATGCAAGGCCCACAGGCTTGAACCCAGCAGTCACGAGAGGGGCAAAAGAGACACCACCAAAGGAACCAGATGCTAGACCCGACATCTGGTCGGGTCTAGCACCGATGCTAGATGCTAGACCCGACCTGGCAGGTAAACCAGCACAGTGAAGTGCAGATTCCTGCACAACCAAGCGAGCAACCGCCAAGTGACCCGGGACCTCCTCAGGAATATCCGGAAGCGGGACTGCAGCCGCAGCAACACCACAGTGGGAAAACACACGGAAGTGATTTGAGAGTCCCAAACGAGGCCCAGCCAGGTCCAAACCTGGGACGCAACCAAATGGGAAGCAGGGAATGAAAGTTCTTGCTGCCCTCCCCCTCCCGGGGTGGGGAGGGGAGTGGAGGGCAGCGCAGACAAACAGTGGCGCTGAATGACATTGCTTATTTCCTTCATTTTCCTTTGGGAGTTCTGTTTTTCTATTCAGTGTTGGGTTTTTTTGCATTTCCTACCATGTGGGGGTTTGTTTTGAGATGCCTACCTTTCCGAGTGCCTAACCCCGGTCGATGGCAGATGACATACCCCAAATACAAGGGAGTTTTTCTAGGGTCATTGCTCCCTGCGCCCCTCTGAGGGGGCCATGTTCTAGCTAAAGGTTACCGGTAGGTAGAACTCCATTGACTGAAGCCCCAGACTAATATAGTGTATATCAGTCCAATAGCTCCAGGGAGCCGAAGGGGCTCCCCACAGAAACACTTAGTATGTAGAAGGTAAACAATCATTACACAATGAGCCACCAGGTGGCAGCTCAGGTTACCTGAGGGACCAGCCAACCAACACTCACTCACTCACATGCCTGGTACCAACACATGGAAAACCAGAGCCTAATGCATTGGGAAGCTATTGAGGGGCCAGTTCAGAAAGTACAGTACTCTGTTTGCCCTTCAGAAAGGCACAAGACACTATCCCTAAAGGTTTGATTATGTTTAACTTTTCTGTTTACAAATTTTGATACAAAAAATTATGTTCCTTTTACATAAAATTCAATCTAAATTGTCATGATTCATCAGAAACATTGAAAGGCATGCACAAGAATGTGTACAAGCAAGCACATAAAATCAACTCACAGGCACACATGAATATGCACAAGAGAGCCAAATGAAACCAAATAATGTATATTATACCCTCAGTTGTGAACTCTTTATAGTGCCACATTTACACTTGGCTCTCATCCTATGTTCACATGCATACAACAACTGTATGGTTGTATAATGAGTTATGTAAACATTTTATATAATTCACATATTTTGTAAGAATTAAACACTTAAAAAAATAAAAAAAATAAGTCATAAAACAAAACAAAAATTTGGGTGCTGTATTTATACTGAAACAAACACTATATGTACTGTACCAATACTGTATTTGTAAAAGTGCTTCTTTAGTACAAAAATACATTATACAACCCTTGCCACATACTTCCTTCTCCCTGGATGCTTTTTGTTAAGGTGTTTTAAATTGCTGGCATAATGGATTAGATAAAAAAAAAATGAAAAAATAGATGCACTGTACTTTCAATCTGGTCTGTATTGGTATCTAATAAGTATTCATTACAGCTATAAAATAAATACTATTACATCTGAACATCAAAACTATCTAAAGGAGATTTTGTACTCTTGACAAATCTTATATAACTGCATGTTTAAAAGAATGGTAGCCTACAAAACTAAAATTTGTCACTCATTGAGAATACTAATTCTTGAATTATGTAACATTAGTCAAACCTTACACACCATTAACAGCTGGCAGTCCTTTACATAATATTCAACATCTTCCATTTTCTTCAATTTCTAGATGTACAGAGTAGTATCTTAAAACAATAAATGCCTTTCCCCTTATAATGTTCTTATTTACACTGTGCAATTGTATATCAAATGTGCCAAATGAAGACTTATTATATAAATCTCATGTATTTCTAGGCTTACCATGTAATCTTTTTATGTGATCTTTTAGCCTTGATGACTGAGTAAATGCTTTATCACATGCATCACATTGATATGGTGTTTCACCTGTATGTCTTCTGTAATGAGTTGTTAAATGGGCCTTTTGAGTGAAAGTCACACAACACCGGTCACATTTATATGGCCGTTTTGCCAAGTGAGTTTGTAAATGTACTTTATAAGAATAAGCTCGTGTGAAATGCTTGTCACAATCTTTACAATAATTAGAATTACTACATTGCTTATCCTCAAATATTCTTGACTTAGTTTCCTCCTCCTCTGAACTTGTACTCCTAACTTCACTGGGCTTTATACTGTCACTGCCCTCTAAATTTTCCTCCACCTTCACTGCAACAAGTTCTTCAGACTGGAGTGCATGATTAAATTTAATATTTTTTGTACCCTTAAGTTTGCTATTATTTTTAGAATTTGAATCACCAGTCACTAAAGAACTCTTTTTAGTGAACTCTATGTCAAAGTTAGGAAATTGTGTTTGCTTTATTTTGGTTATATCTAAAGAAACTTCTTGTTTGAGCACATTATTTGATGAATCACTAAGTGCATTATGTTGTGATAAATTTTTTAATCCTTTACACCACATTCCAATATGGTGTTTCAGCTTTGATAATCGATTAAAAGTCATGACACAGGCCTCACATTTATACACTGCTTGTGATTTTTGTTCATCTCCAGGGTTCTTTTGTGAATCTCTCTCGAACTCTTTACCAATTGATCCACCTGGAGCTTCCATTTCATGCTTTCTCTCTGCTACTTGCAAAGTTTCACTATTAGCTGTATTTTTCTCAGCACCCATTTCTTCGAGTGACTTTATGGTAACTTTGCCTACAGATTCTCTTAAATGGTTTTTGCATCGCTTCCCTGTAATTCCTTTTCTTTCATATGTCTGTAATTTTTCTTGCTTAATGTTTCCTTTACTTTCTTCTATGTTGTTGTTTATATGTCTTTTGTTATGCTTCACTTTATCTTCCTCAATGTTATCATCACTGAACTGCTCCTCTTTAATGTTTTCTAATCCAATATTATACTCCTTATATCTTTCATCTGCTTTACCATGCTTCACTCTCTGATGAAACCGTAAAGCAGATGCCCTTCTGAACAGTGCCCCACAATCTCCACAAACCTGTGACATATTTTCGTGTTGTTTCAAGTGGTTCTTATGCTCAGTAATGTTTTTAAATGTTATATTACAATATTTGCATGTAAATTCTTCATCACTATACATAGGACTGGATTCTGTTTGCTTTTTTGTCTCCTTCTCATTTCTACTTGTGCACAAATTTTTATTCCCATTCAACTCACATTTGCTCTCACTCTCACCAAATAAAATTTCAGGTTCATTTATATCTGTTCTTTTATAACTCTCTTTTACGACACTGCAAATTTTTTGGTGTCTGACTAATTGAACACGACGAATATAACAAGTTCCACATGCACACCGATATTTCTTGATAGATTTTGTGTTAACATTTTTTGTTTCACGGCACTTTATTATATGATTGTCATATCTATAAGACTGTGTAAAAGAAGTTCCACATAGCTCACATACAGACTTTTCCCTTGAATGGCGAAGTTGATGAGAGTGCATGTGAGCCTTTTGTCTAAAAGTTTCTCCACAGAGATTGCAAGTGTAAGGACGCTCTCCTGTATGACATCGCAAGTGAGACCTGAAGTAGTTTATGGTGTATGATTGTTTACATATATCACAAGTTTTTGTCTTATTTGAACTGCTGCCATCATTTAATTTTTTATTTTTACACTGACTTGAATTAATTTCTCCTTCTTGCAAGTGTTGCTCAGAATCACCGGACTGATTTTCAAGCTTTAAAGATATCAGGTCATTCCATCCACTTGGTAAAAGTTTATCATTTCCCATAACTACCATTATAGCTTTATCATTGTGCAAGTTTCTTATGTGGCGTGTTACAGCAGATCGCTGGGAAAAGCATAATCCACACGCACCACATTTATAAGGCTTCAAGCCAGTGTGCCTACTCATATGATCTTTTAGATGTGTTATTTGTTTGAAAGCTCGAGGACAATAGTTGCATTCGTATGGCCTTTCACCAGTATGCATTCTCATATGACTCTGATAATTAGATGACTGATAGAAAGGCCTATCACACACCTTACATTGCCAAATTTTCCTTCCAGTATTGTCAATAGAAGTATAATGAAACTTAACTTTGCTGAATTCTTTTACAGATTCTGTTGAGTCTTGCCATTCAGGCTCTAGTATATTAAGAAGCTCTTTATCTTTATCTACAGTAAGCAAAACTTCACATTTAATCTCTGTGCTGGATACATTATCTTTATTTGAATGTTCTTCTCTGCTGGATACATTATTTTTATTTGAATGTTCCTCTGTGCTGGATACATTATCTTCATTTGAATGTTCTTCTCTGCTGGATACATTATCTTTATTTGAATGTTCCTCTGTGCTGGATATATTATCATTATTTGACTGTTCCTCTGTGCTGGATACATAATCTTTATTTGAATGTTTCTCTGTGTCCTTGCTACAGCTTTCCATGCCTTTGATTTCCATTGCTTCAGCTTTAATGTGCATATCATCTACATGTGTTACTGGCATTACCTCACACTTTACACAGCCATCTGCATCAATGACATGTATAACCTCTTGTTTTACTTGACAATCATTTACCTCAGTTATATCTATAGTTTCTTCTTTCACTTTAACACCATCAGTTATTTCACTTTGAATATTCTTAATAGAATGGTTAATAACAACAAAGTCCTTTTCTTCTCCTATTTTAACATTAATACATACATCTGACATTCCACACTCTGTCAAGCCCTTCTTATGTTGCACAATACTATGATTTTCCAACATAGAAAGATTTAGGAAGCCATGTCCACATATCTCACAAATAAATTTGTTATCTACATGACAATGACTATGCTTTATCATACTGCTCTTTTGTTTGTAACAAACCCCACAAATTTTACACCGATATGGTTGGGGTTTTAAATGACCTCTCATGTGATCTATCTTGAAACATTCATTAATGAAAGTCTTTTTGCAGATTTTACAATAAAAATTTCTTACTTTGTGCTCTACCAATGGCTTTTCTTTTTTCTTTACAATATTTCTACCCTCTACATGAATAGTTCTTTTATGAGAATTTAACCTTGAAGACTGGGTAAAGGTAGCATTGCAGACATTACAAACATATGGCCTTTCTCCAGTATGAATCCTTATATGGGATCGAAGATGTGAAATCTGTTTAAAACCCATACCACAGAAGTCACAAAAATATGGCCTTTCTCCAGAATGCGTTCGCATGTGAGTGATATAATTTGATGATGTTTTACAAGACTTTCCACATTGTAGACAATCATACACCATTCGGCTCTTCACTTTCTTTTCTTTTAGTTTCTTGTCTTTTGTACGTGTCTTAGCAGATACTGTTCTTTCATAGTCACATTTCTGCATCTTTTGATTTTTTTGATTTATATCATCTATAAAGAATTCTGTTTCTTGAGCTTTTCTTTTAATTTCTGGCTCCATTACAGTAGAGTGTAATATTTGAGAGCTGTAAAATTGTGCACCCTGAGGAGGATTCAATATGGGATTCTCCTTCCCTTCTTCTATCACGTAAGTTACTTCTGTTAGATGTTCCAGCTCATCATTCCACAACAGAAGACTTGTGCCATCAGAATAAATTTCCTCTCGTACAACACGTGGATACCTAGGCATTTCATTGTTCAGCTCCTCTGGTTCTTCTACTGGAAAGGTGTCTGTACTATCATAATTATGAACAATATCACCACCACCACCATCATCACCATTATGCTCCCCTTCTATCTGAATTGGATGATTGTCATCTTCTACATTTGTGACTTCATGTATGTCTACTGTATAAGCACAAACATCATTTCCAGGAAGGTCTTGTGCCACATTAGAGTAGGGGTCATTACTAATACAGTTGTTGGAGGCTGTATGTGAGAATACTTTTGAAGAATTGCATTCTATAGTGTTCTCACTTGTGGGTACATCTATGGTCACATCTGTTATTGATTCTTGTGAATTAACTGATGTCCTAATGATATCACAATTGTGCATCGAGTCTGCCAAATATGTGATTTCTTTATCTTTTAGAGATTCTGGTAAAACTATGAAAAATCCCTTGCCATCTTCATCTTGAGTTTCTAGGACAGTTCCACTCTCTAATGCTGCTCGTACATGATCAGGATGAACAACATTGAAATCTTTGGTTACATTTTTATCATATAAATTAGATGCTAAACTTTCTTTTAATTTATCTTGGGATCTACCCTCTTCAGAACTGTGCACAACATTAATCTTTCTGTGTATAGTGTCATCAAACACTGAAGAGATGTGAGAGATATTGGCAGCATCTATACTTGGCTGACTGTACTTAACATTTTTCAATGATGCCTGCTCTTCAGATAAAACTGCAGTGCTGCCTGTATGTTCTGTAAATTCATAAATTCTGTCATTGTGTTCTAAGCTCAAAGCAGAAGTTGATATATTTTCTACTTTATCCCCAGCTCTGGGCATAATCTCTGAAAGTGGTGAATACTGATTTTCTATATCAGCAACTTCTCTAAATCCTTTAGATGGTTTGTCTTTTAATGGCTCATTTACTGACTTTGAAGGTGTGGATTTTGGAGCTTCATTTTTTGTCTTTGATAATGAAGATTTTAATTTATTATTTTCTGCTTTAAATAGTACACATTTTGCACCCTCATCTTCTGCCTTAGATGGTGCAGATTCTATAGCGTTATCTAAAGTTTTAAATGTTGCAGATGTATCTTCATTAATCTCATTACATGATGTGCTTTTTAAAGTCTCATTTGCTGCATTAAAGAGTGAGAATTTTAACTCTTCAGTTGCTTCCTTAGATGGTGTAGATTTTGAAGCCTCATTTGCAGCCTTTGATGATGAGGATTCTATAGCCTCCTTTGTTGTTTTACATACTAAAGATTTTATAGTCACAGGTGGTATTTTAGATGTGAATTTTAAAGGGTTGTTCTCTGTCTTAGATGGTGAGGATTTTACAGTCACATCTGTGGCTTTATATGCTGGGGATTTTAAAGCCTTATCAGGTGCTGTAGGTTGCATGGATTTTAAAGCCTCATTTGATATCTCAGATGGAGAGGAATTTAAAGCCTCTTTTGCCATCTTAGATGGTGGTGATTTTAGTGCTACATTTGTCATTTCCGATAGTGTGGATTTATAAGTCTGATTTTCTGATTTATTATACACATAGAGATACTCCTGATTATTAGTGTGAACTTTACGATGCAGAACTAAACCATTCATACGTGTGAACTGTTTTCCACATTCCTCACATTCAAATGGTCCTAGGTTGATATGGACCCCTCTATGCTTTTGCAAGGTAACCTTTTCTCGAAAGCACACACCACATTTCTCACATTTATAACGCCTTTCTCCAGTATGTATCATTGTATGAAGCTTTAACCGACTTAAATGTGAAAATGTTTGGCCACATTTTTCACACTGATAGGGCTTCTCACCAGTATGGGTTCTCATGTGCATTTTTAGATGCATCTTTTCATATGTGGAATGATTACATATGTTGCAAGAATATGGTTTTATTCCAGAATGTTTTTTTCTGTGTAAATTTAAAGATGACTTCTGAACAAACCTAGATCCACATTCCTCACATTCAAAGGGACGTTCTCCTGTGTGTGTTCGTTGATGATCAATTAAATGATGCTTCTGCCTAAATGCCCTTTGGCATACCATACACTTGTGAGGTTTTTCCCCTGAGTGTGTCAACATGTGTTTCTTAAAGTTAGTAGAAGATTGCGATATCAAATTACACTTCTCACAGGGATATATTTTCTGCATTTTTCTCTTTATTTTTACCTTGGCTTCAATAGCTACTGCAATGTCCTTAGACACCATATTACCATATAAAGAACTTGATGATACCTCAACCTTTTCTTTCGCTTTAAACTCTTCATCCAGATTATATTTCCTTGGTAAGGCATGCACCTTAGAGTCATTCTTGTGGATAATTATCTCATTATTGACTGTGTCTTCCATTGCCATAAATCTTTAGTTTATCTTTAGTTAACACAAAAAACTAATATTTGTTTCAACTCACTTTGATGGGTTCAGGTTCCTGATGTTACAGTACAGTAGATTAAAATTTTCTGGGGTATGTCATTCCATCTCCTTATACCAGAGCAAAATCTGAAATATTTTTATCATTAATATCTTGAAACTATGTCATACTACTTGTATTTTGACCAATTTTGATTGATACTATAGAGAATGATACTGATATTGATATTAAATATTTTGTCAAATGTGAGAACCATATCCACCTCACAAAAAAATATCAAGGTATCAACTAAAATTTTACCAATACTGTTAAAATAGACTGATTCTGATACATTGTTACACCTCCAAGTGTTGGCAAGTTTGTATTAACCCATTTACTGTGGCACCTGAGTTTTAGCCCTGTTCCCATCTATGGTCAATATGGGGCTAAAAAACAAATATTTTATATATTAACCAAACTACACACTAGAAATTGAAGAGACGACGACATTTTGGTCCGTCCTGGACCATTATCAAGTCGATTGTGATGAGACGAGGGAGGCAAGGGCTATTTAAGTTAGGCAAGAGAGAGAGTGGTGAGGAGATGGAAATCTTAAGAGGAAGATAAGAGCAAGGCAAAGGGTATGAAAGGTAAGGTGTAATAATAGGAGTAAGAAAGGGAATGTAAGAGAAACAAGAGAAAGAAAAAAAGAAAGAGGGAAAAGGAAGGGTAGGCTTATGTTAGGTCACATTTGTTAGAAAGTTTAGAACATTTGAGTATGTACTGTGAAAGGGAAGAGTCAACAGCAACAAAGTCAGGACTCTGGTTCATGTTGGGTAGGTTGTAAATCAGAGCCGATTTGACAGAACAGCATCTGTGTAGAGTAGAGGCAGGAAAGATTATTTAAGAGGAAGACCAATCAAGAGGATGATTATAATCCCTAACATGGCAGAAGAGAGCATTGTTTGTGTCAGCAGACACAATCAGCATTGCTTCCAATGCTGCTGGTGTCTACTCTATTTCCTGTTTGTCTTGTCCTCTCCAATACTTTGGTGAAAATGGCCATACACTAAATGACAGACTTAAGGAACACAAAAGAAGATGCTCTCTTCCCTTTCACAGTAAATACTCAAATATTCTAAACTTTCTAACAAACGTTACCTAACATAAGCCTACCCTTCCTCTTTCTTTCTTTTTTCTTTCTCTTGTTTCTCTTACATTGCCATTCTTACTCCTATTATTACACCCTACCTTCCATACCCTTTGCCTTGCTCTTATCTTCCTCTAAGATTTCCATCTCATAATCTCTCTTTTGCCTAACTTAAACAGCCCTTGCCTCCCTCGTCTCATCACAATTGACCTGATAATGGTCCAGGATGGACTGAAACATCATGTCTTCAATTTCTAGTGTGTGGTTTGGTCAACATTTTTCAGCCACATTATTGTGACTCTTCATCTGCAAATATTTTATATTTACATTAATTAAGTTTTTATAAGACCTGATCTTTCCAGATGTGCCATTAACAAAATTAAATCATATTAACAAACACCAGCTGTTGAATGTTGTGAAACACCCATTTCCAGTGTGCTGTCGGTAGCCCCTAGTAGTTTGCACTCTGGTGGAATCAAACCCTAGAAAGTGCTTCAGACCTCTTTAACCCATGCTGATTTACCAGGAAAAGAATCTGACTCTTTCTACAAATCAAAAGGGATCAGAGATCAAACCAAAACCAAACACAAAAATCCTCCCCCAAAATAGGTGGAACAAAACAATCTATTGTCTGTGGCCTAATTGCCTAAAGACAGATAAATTTTGTGACAAAGCATTTGAATGATTATTGCCATTGGTGAATGATACTAACATTGATGTGCCTGACCCCCACTAGATTGCAGCCCAGGTCACTTGGGTCACAGCCAGCCTACCACCTCACTTACAAGCTGCTAGCAGTGAGCCCAGAACACCCCATGGAGAAGAAAAGATCAGGCAGGAATTCTAATGTCCTGTCCCATGAAGCCCGTAAGTTAGGAACTGAGAGTACAATAGCTCCTGGAAATCAACAAGTATCAATAAACATGATAAATCATGATTGTTGATACTTGATGACTTTAATTTAAAATCGATAAACTGGGAAGATTATGAAGCAAGAACAGAGAATTTTTGGACTGGCAGATTCATAAACCTCATCCTGGAATCTTTCATTTATCAACGTGTAAAAAAGCCCACAAGAATGAGAGAAAGTGATGCTCCATCATTGCAGGATTTGATATTTAGAAAGAAAGAAAGAAGAGATATTTGACATTCAGTACCTTCCTCCTTTGGGAACTATGTCCTTTTGAAGAAATTAGATATGCTATGCGATATAATCTAAAAGAGAATGGTGACATTTAAATAGTAGACAAACTTAATTTTAAGAGAGGACATTATGGGCATGGGTAAAATATAGGAAGAGACCAAACCCTCAAACATAGCAGCACTATAAACATGCAAGAAACAAATACACAGCAGTGAGGAGAGAGGCAGAAAGGGATAGCGGACAATTGTTAAGCAGATACAGGCTTTTTCTATAAATTCATTAAAAGCAAGCTACATGTAAAGGATAAAATCCAGAGATTGAGAATCGGAAACAGGTTCACTAAGAATAAAAAAGAAATGTGTGAAACACTAAATGAACAGTTCCACAGTGTCTTTGTGCAAAATGAGCTTTTCAAAGAGCCAGACACAATGCCAATTCCAGAAAACACCATAGAGTACACAGAGATGTCTCAAGATGAAGCAAAAAATTTTCTCATGGGGCTAGGAAGAAATCTGTTGCACAGTACAGAACACTTGCCTTTTTCATCTGCTCATACTTCTTGAGCTCTATGTTAGTAGAGGCAAGTAAAAGATGATGACCTATTGCATAATAGTTTCAGGCTGACATAATCTGGCACCATTTCTCTACATTGAGTGATTCAAGGAAGTGGTGCACTTCATCATGTTAAATAATAAATGCTCATAATTGTGTTCTAGTATTGCTATCATTCGTTTCTGAACAATATTACACAATTTAAATTTAATACTGAACTGTACATTGTTCTTTTTCAAGATAAAATTAACAATAAAATTATTCAACCCATCCTCCTGCTTAGATAGTATTTTTTGTAAGTCGTGGACCATTGTTCACATATAGACGTACAATAATGGACAATTAGATATTTAGTAGAATTCGGTACTATTCGCTTTATAGAATCTGAAAACAAAATAAAGCTAAAAACCAAACTTAATGTTCCTTAGCCTGGTGTAGCATATATATATGTATAGTACTATAATAGGCCCTCATGTATTAGACCAAGGAAGGTTAAGTTAGGTTAGGTTTTCTTTATAACATAAATACAAAAAAATTTCCCATTTGTCCAAATTCAAGAGTACCAATTTCTACTTTCATATTGATATCAGTAGATGTACGATGGTCTTCATCGTTACCATAAGTACTATATAAACAAAAGGATGGGCTCAATTATTCAACTTACATTTTAAAGAAGCAGACCATATTACCCACTTGATGTTTTATTTATGCAGCTTTCCAGTTGTTCCTAACACATTGGCTAGGTCTCCTACCACCTCTCTTCAAACTTCTCAGGTGGACTTGCAATGGAAACCCAAGAATCCAGGTCTGAAAAATCCTCAATTAGTACAGGTTTATTCAATTTTATTCTATTGATAAAATGGCTATAGTGTTACATTTTTGTGAAGATATTATATCAGCTTGAGAATGCACAAGATTATGATTGTCTCTGGTGAGGCTCATTTACCCTTTACATATTTATGTCTAAATTTAAAATCTATGCCTCACAAATGAAATAAATAGGGCTCCCTATGCAAGTAAATGAGTTATACTTTTAAATTAATTTAACTCAATGTTCACTGTTAACACTCATCATCACACCATTCAACCTCCATATGCACGACAAGTCCAACTGTACAATTGCAGGTCCTACCTGATGCCTCCCTCATCCAAGAGGCCTACAGAGATATGCAGTCAATCATTGAGAGTACTGTGGTGTGACCTGCACCTGTAACCCTTAACCCAGCCTGGTGTTTCTGTATTCCCACAATCATGGACCATCATCTCCCTTTCAACACTTTCATTTAACTGACTAAAAAAAAGGTCCTAACGTCCTGCTCCTAAGGCTAAAAAATCCAGCACTGAATGTAATGAAAAGCTTCTTTCTGGTAGGGACTAGGTAGCTCCCCCCATATTCAATCACATCAGCCTTACCTGGAGGGGGTCTTGGCAGTTCTTCTTCTCTCCAAGCCTGGCCCCACCATGATACCTTGGTCTAACAGGCTGTTGCTTGCATCACTCACACGCCCATATATCCACTACAACCTAGTTGGTCTAGCACTTCTTGCAAGCAACATTATCTAACTCAGCCTGGCCTAACCCTAACATTATTATTATTATTTGTTATACAGTATATACAAGTTCTTACATTCTTGTAAAGCCACTAGCACGCATAGCATTTTGGACAGGTCTTTAATCTTAATTTTCCCCAGAATACGACCCACCAAATTGCTTAACAACCAGGTACCCATTCATTGCTGGGTGAACAAAGGCTACAGTTAAGCACTGGCGCCTGATCAATCCTCCCCGGCCAGGATATGAACCCAGGCCAAATCACTCGCAAAGAGCTGGTTGAGCGCCTTACCACTGTGCCACAGGGACTGTGGCGCTTATCTAACCCAGCCTAGCCTAGCCTAACTTCAGTATTATCTAACTCAGCTTAACCTAGCCTAACTTCAGTATTAGCTAACCCAGCCTAGCCTAATGATAACATTATCCAACCCAGATTAGCATAATTTCACAATTAGGAAACAAGATTTGTGAAAACGAGGAGACCTGCATTCTACCAGTGAGCAAATGATTGTGCACGAAATTACCTAACTTCCTCCCGTATATTTTGCAGACAAAACTGCACTGACCAACAGCAGTTCGAGCCACTTACCATTCATTACATAATCACTAATGATTCATCATTACTTAATGTCGGCATCTATACAGCTTCATCACGCTTTGCCAATTATCCCCGCATTTATAGATCAATACGCAATAATTACAAGATGAGACACTGCGCCATGTTTACACTGTCCCATATTATCATAACAAAGTTAAGCAGAGAGAACACTGACGGCCGCACCGGGAGACGCGACTCGCCAGTAACTGCTGCACGCCACATAGTTTAGTACTCACACCATAGATGGCAGGATACATTCGCGCCATTATTTGGTCTTTATTATATTAATAATGTACTTGACCTAGTTATCTATCTAGTGACCACGACGGGGTTAGGAAATTATTATTATACTATATAATATTAGTGGCCATCAAGTAAATTCCTGGAAAAATAAATAAATAAATAAATAAACATACACAAGAAAACTTAGACACGACCCTGCAGGTAGACTCGAACCCAGAGAGCACAGTTGTTCACACAACTGGTATAACTCCTATGTAACCCTTTACACTACCGCCCACAAGATGGGTATGGGGTGCATAATAAATGAACTAAACTACCTGGTATAACTAGTATGCGCTAACCGATTACACCAACTCAGACGCTTCAAAAGGAATGGAAATTTTGGAGTATTTCCCCATCTCCACTCCCCGAGGGCACCAGAGAGGTGTACGGTCACAATACGTTTTTCATCAAGCCACAGCCTTATAGGGTGAACTCCATATATAACTACTCCCTAAACTTCCTTTATAGGGAGTTCTATAAGTTCTCCGCAGTTCTCCTGTGCGTACTAGTGGCTTTACAAGATTGTAAATTACCATGCTATGTATTCTCACAAACCCAATGTACCTTCTTGTATATAAATAAATAAATAAATAAATATATATATATATATATATATATATATATATATATATATATATATATATATATATATATATATATATATATATATATATAGTATATTTTGGTAGCAGTCTTTCCTGTAGACATATTTTATTAAATATGACCGAAAAAGTAAGATTAATAATTCTAACACGAATTTTCTCAATCTTTCGTACATTATGCTTCACTGTTGGAGGTAAATCAAAAATCACTTCTCCAAAATTCATTTTTATTTCTAGTCTGACGCGACACGGGCGCGTTTCGTAAAACTTATTACATTTTCAAAGACTTCACAAATACACAACTGATTAGAACTTGCGTTTCCCTGATTTTATATCTACATTTGAGTGAGGTGGGAAGGGTGATGTGGCATTACATTTGAGTAAGGTGGGAAGGATGATGTGGCATTAGAGGATATTAATAGGGTATTAAAAGTATCAACACAAGACAGAACACGAAACAGTGGATATTGAATAGAAGTGTTTGTAGAAAGCCTATTGGTCCATATTTCTTGATGCTTCTATATTGGAGCGGAGTCTTGAGGTGGGTAGAATATAGTTGTGCAATAATTGGCTGTTGATTGCTGGTGTTGACTTCTTGATGTGTAGTGCCTCGCAAACGTCGAGCCGCCTGCTATCGCTGTATCTATCGATGATTTCTGTGTTGTTTACTAGGATTTCTCTGGCGATGGTTTGGTTATGGGAAGAGATTATATGTTCCTTAATGGAGCCCTGTTGTTTATGCATCGTTAAACGCCTAGAAAGAGATGTTGTTGTCTTGCCTATATACTGGGTTTTTTGGAGCTTACAGTCCCCAAGTGGGCATTTGAAGGCATAGACGACGTTAGTCTCTTTTAAAGCGTTCTGTTTCGTGTCTGGAGAGTTTCTCATGAGTAGGCTGGCCGTTTTTCTGGTTTTATAGTAAATCGTCAGTTGTATCCTCTGATTTTTGTCTGTAGGGATAACGTTTCTATTAACAATATCTTTCAGGACCCTTTCCTCTGTTTTATGAGCTGTGGAAAAGAAGTTCCTGTAAAATAGTCTAATAGGGGGTATAGGTGTTGTGTTAGTTGTCTCTTCGGAGGTTGCATGGCTTTTCACTTTCCGTCTTATGATGTCTTCGATGAAACCATTGGAGAAGCCGTTATTGACTAGAACCTGCCTTACCCTACAGAGTTCTTCGTCGACTTGCTTCCATTCTGAGCTGTGGCTGAGAGCACGGTCGACGTATGCGTTAACAACACTCCTCTTGTACCTGTCGGGGCAGTCGCTGTTGGCATTTAGGCACATTCCTATGTTTGTTTCCTTTGTGTAGACTGCAGTGTGGAAACCTCCGCCCTTTTCCATGACTGTTACATCTAGAAAAGGCAGCTTCCCATCCTTTTCCGTCTCGTAAGTGAAACGCAGCACGGAACTCTGCTCAAATGCCTCCTTCAGCTCCTGCAGATGTCTGACATCAGGTACCTGTGTAAAAATGTCGTCAACATACCTGCAGTATATGGCCGGTTTCAAGTTCATGTCGACTAAGACTTTTTGCTCGATGGTACCCATGTAGAAGTTTGCAAACAGGACACCTAGGGGAGAACCCATAGCGACCCCATCTACTTGCTTATACATGTGCCCATCCGGGCTCAAGAAGGGTGCCTCTTTAGTACAAGCTTGGAGTAGTTTCCTCAGAATACTTTCTGGCATGTCAAGAGGAGTACAGGCTGGATCACGATACACTCTGTCGGCTATCATTCCGATTGTCTCGTCCACAGGTACGTTGGTAAACAGCGATTCTACGTCCAACGAGGCTCTTATCCCTGTGGCCCGTGCGCCCCGCAGTAAGTCCACAAATTCCTTTGGAGACTTCAGGCTGAAGGCGCAAGGAACATAAGGAGTCAGCAGGCCGTTGAGTCGCTTCGCCAATCTGTACGTGGGTGTGGGTATCTGGCTAATGATTGGCCGAAGTGGGTTTCCAGGCTTGTGCGTCTTGACATTTCCATACGCATATCCAGGTTTATATTCCCCAATGATCTTTGGCAGGTGGAGTCCGGATTTCTTGGCGTTCACAGTTTCGATCAGTTTGTTGACCTTTGCTTTTAATTCGGCTGTAGTGTCCTTCGTTACCCTTTGGAACTTAGTTTGGTCAGAGTATAGATATAGAAGCAATATAGAATCCAATATAGAAGCATCAAGAAATATGGACCAATAGGCTTTCTACAAACACTTCTATTCAATATCCACTGTTTCGTGTTCTGTCTTGTGTTGATACTTTTAATACCCTATTAATATCCTCTAATGCCACATCATCCTTCCCACCTTACTCAAATGTAATGCCACATCACCCTTCCCACCTCACTCAAATGTAGATATAAAATCAGGGAAACGCAAGTTCTAATCAGTTGTGTAATTGTGAAGTCTTTGAAAATGTAATAAGTTTTACGAAACGCGCCCGTGTCGCGTCAGACTAGAAATAAAAATGAATTTTGGAGAAGTGATTTTTGATTTACCTCCAACAGTGAAGCATAATGTACGAAAGATTGAGAAAATTCGTGTTAGAATTATTAATCTTACTTTTTCGGTCATATTTAATAAAATATATATATATATATATATTGTGACGGTAACGCGTTGGTGTTCGGCTGTTTGAGGCTAGGGGTATGGCCTCGTCACATAGTTATAAAAAAAAAATAGAAAAAACTGGAACTTCGTCTGTGGTAAGGTAAGGAGAAGACACAAAACACAAGTAAACTTTAACAATGAAATTTTAATTACGTTAAATAAATCAAAACATAAATAAAATGGACAAACAAATTCGTATAATAAAATCAATCAATCAAAATAATAAGAATAATTAAATGACACAATGAAAAGTTACGTTAAGACAAAATAACAAGAAGTGCAATACAAAAATAAAGGTAAGGTGCTGGAATATTGGCTTTAAGCTACCACCTCTCTCAGTATACGCTAACGTCTAGCCGGGAGGAGTGGTAACCGCGGAAGCACAGAATATTCTGAGGTCTGAGGTCGTGGCGACCCCAGACATCAAGTAGTATGGGGGGGTGGAGTGCAGTTGCAGCCCGGCCGGCGACCAATCAGCGGAGCCGGTAGTAAGACAGGTAGTTTGGCGGTTTGAGTCTGAGCAGGTGTCTCTGGCTGCATACGTTTTGCTCTCTGGCAAACCTTGCTGGTGTTGTTGTCATTGTTGGACATTTCTTCCATAGTAGTTTTATATAATTTTAACGACGTAATTGTGGAGGGAAGAGCAGGCTCAATCTCTTGAAGGAGATTATCGTCACAATATATATATATATATATATATATATACAATATATATATATATATATATATATATATATATATATATATATATAATATATATATATATATATATATATATATATATATATATATATATATATATATATATATATATATATATATATATATTTATATTTATATATATATAAATATATATATATTAGTATATTTTGGTAGCAGTCTTTTGTAAACATACATTGTTGAATACGACCGAAAGGGTTAGATTAATTATTCTAACACAAATGTTCTCAATATTTCTTACATTTTTCTTCACTGTCGAGCGTAATTGAAAAATTAACTCTCCAAAGTTCATTTTCACATTTTTATTTATGGTCTGACGCCTAGAAGCGTTTCGCAAGACTTCTCACATTTTCAAAGACAAATTTTTATGTACTGTACTCTGTTTCATGCTTATATTTGTTTTTAGGTGAGGTGATAGGATACAAATGTTTTGGGTGAGGTGACAGGAAACAAATAAATGGGAAACGACAGAACACGAAACAATGGGTATTTACCATGGGTATACATTTTATCTGCTTGTTTCTGTGCTGGTTCAGGGTCTTGAAGTGGGTGGAATGTAATTGTGTTAATTGGCTGTTGACGGCTGGTTTTGACTTTAATGTGTAGGGCCTCGCTGATGTCAAGCCTCCTGCTATTGTTTTATCTGTCGATAATTTCTGTGTTGCTTGTTAAGATTACTCTGGTTGTGTGAGGATATTATATGCTCCTTGATGGAGCCCTGTTGTTTATGCATTGTTAGATGCCTAGAAAGAAAGAGACGTTGTTGTCTTACCTATATACTGAGATCTTTGGGGCTGACAGTCCCAAAGTGGGCATGTGAATGCATGCCGAATCCACTGCATAGCAGTAGATTCTGCCTATTCCTTTCATCTTCCATATCTGTATGCTCCAACATCAAGAAACACCAACAATACATGCCAAAATGTATTGTCCAGTCAGTCCTACCCCCCCTCCACCCTTCCTTCCAAGAGAGAGACACACCTGCAGACTCGCCTGCTCCAATTTACCACCCGCAAACGGCAATTACGTTGCCAGTTCCTCATCTACAGCCCAGCTTTAAGCAAATGTGACGTTGCCAGCCATATATAAGGACTTGCCAGTGACCAGAACAGATTCTTCTTCTTCTGGTGCTCAGAGCT